CTGTCATTTGTCAGCTGTGTGTCGATTAAAAGAAAGACCTATTCTAACTTCAAAGAAACGTTTTCCAACAATCAATCCTTTCTCTGGTCGACCCTTTCTCCTCCTATTATAATTTCGTTGGAATGGCGAATGAGAAATGTAAATAAGTATCCATGTTATTTGCTCTACATATTTTATATTTACAGTTAATTTATAGATGGGTTTTTGTCCTGCGCTCGGGAATGTGACAATCCCCCCAAGCCATATTACAATTATTTGTAGACTTGACCCCACCCGAGTGTGCGTTTGGACCAACTAGTATTTGGAGTCGGCAGACCAAGAGGAAAAAACACCCATGTCTATGGTGCATTTTGTATACGGCGAGGAATCCAGAAACCCAATTTTTAAGTGGAGCACAGGCTCGTGAACTGCGTACACAAATAAACAAATGTAAACCATTTAACGCCGAAATAGTTGATTATGAATTTTATGAAAATTCACAAACTGGTCAGGTAGGATGGCTGTTCATCTGGAAAAACTTGCAATGCAGCCATCAGTCAAATTTTTGTAAAAGAAGACAATGTTCCCTAAAGGAATGCTAACTTTTTTTAACTATGTGTGGATAAATATAAGAGTTTGTATAATATAACAACAATTGACAATGTAGTCTTCAGATAAAAAACAGTATTATAAAATTTGAATTTTTATATACTTACCTTTAAGATCTGGGTGAATTCTTAATATTTTAACTGTTGTGCTGAATGGTTCCATGGACCAAAGGCTTTTTAATATGCTTTAAAAACGGGGGTGTTTTCACGATTTTTTCTACTTTTCAGTTTACTCTTGAAAATCGAGGGTGTTTTCTTTAAAAATAGCTGTGTCCCTAAGGGGTTAAAAATGTTAATTTTAAAATATACCTTTAAAATCGGGGGTGTTTTCACGATATTTTACGATTTTCTGTTTAGACTTGAAAATCAGGGTGTTTTCACGATTTTTTTTGCGCTTTTCTGTTACCCCTTGAAAATCAGGGTGTTTTTCCTTAAAAAGTGCTGTGTGCTGAAGGGGCCCTTATAGTAGTCTTATAAATAAATAATTTTTTGAAAATTGTGCATAAAAATAGTCCGTAAAATAGCAATTTTTGGAAGCGTTATTTCCAACTTTACAGTTTTGTAAATTGTATAAAAATAATCAAAAACGTCGTTACCGAACTGCCAATCTGAAATAAATCACACTTAATTGAAATAAAATCAATTCAATTATTTATTTACTGTAATAAACAAAGAGCGATTAATTCGTGGAATGGCAAAACAGCAAAATCTGATTTTATTTTGCGTCAATTTCAAACCAAAATTTTTCAAAATTTCTTTAGTGTCGTCTCTTACAGTCCGAGTTATGAGACTGAAAATTAAATTCAAAGCTCTTTGGTGCTGAAATTAATTACGTAAATAATTAATTAGAAATCAAACGCTAATTACCTGTTTTTCACATGAATGACAAACTTCCAAAATTATTACGAATCGAATGAAATAGAGACAAATCCACGCGATATGCAATAATAAAAAAACAGTTTCGTCTTTGTGAATGATTGATAAGATAAAAATGTAAAGATTTAGGACGATTCGTAGAAAACAACTCAGAATAATTAGCTGAAATGTTTGTATTAAATCTTGATTTTTTTGCAAAAACGTACCGAAATTTGAACATTAAAAGTCTTGTTGATGCAATTAATGACGTCATAAATGTGCTCATAACCAATCATTGCGTTAAAAATCACGCGATGACCATTTCCTACAATTTTCAATCATAACTTAATTTTTTTCAAGTTGGCCATACTGTGTTTCAAATTGTCATTGATTCGTTTCATCCTTTGTTCAACAAACCACACCAATTGCCAATACTGCAACTCAAAACCAATCGAAACGAGATAAATGAGATAAAAAGTGTAATCCTTTAATCCCAGTTCAGTCCCATTGACATTCCTCCAAATCACAACCCCATCAAAAACCAAAACCATTGAAAAAACCACAAAAACGCCACTCCCGAAAACCATGCACCATTTCCGGTCCCTTTCACTGTTAAAATCAGGGAAAAGCGAGTCGATTTTCCCAAAACCATCCATCATATCTACGAATTGTTTAAACCCAAATGGTTGAACCACAACGAAGTAAAAACCCAACAATTGCAATTCGGCGAAATCAAGAATTGATAAGAAATGGTTTTGGGTGAATTTCGACCAGACGAAACCATCAGTGCCTGCTTTGATGTAACTTTCCAAACCCAAAAACCCCAAAATTGCTACAAATTAATCAATAGGAAATAATCACTTGTTTTAATTACTCAGAATTGTAATTAGGGCACAGCTGATGAGGTACAAACTCCATGACCAAATTAATAAATACTTTTTGGGGGTTTTGTGACTGGAAAAAGGGTTTAAGCCCAAAATTCGGGTCGTGGTGAAGATGGGTTGGTAACAGTGGAAAAATTTGGGCTCGAGTGTGACAGTATGAAACATTTTTGCCCAAATGATGGGCTCTGGGTTGTTACTTGTTTATATTAACAACCAATTAATTAAAATCGGATAACCTAAATTGATTTTTTTATACAGGGTGTTTTTTTAATATTGCAAAAAAATGCTACTACAAATTCTACATCGAAAAATAACACTAATTCGTTGAATAAACTGTAGTCCTATAAAGCTTAGTTACGGATATACAGGGTGATAAAGTTTCATGATTAAAATTAAAATCCTTATTTGCTCCGAAACTAAAAATTTACAGTCTTTGTAATGTTAAAAAAAACACCCTGTAGGTCAGTAATATCCGTTTATTAAATATAACAAATCGTAATCAACCAATCAATCATAAAAAATCGTCGTTATTTTTACCCCCAACTGTACAATCAAAACAGAAAATAATCAAAAATTTATCTCCTCAATTATGCTGTTTTCCCGAATAATTACTCCGTTATTTACCCTCAAAAATGACATAAGTGCTCAGTTGACCTCCAACCATGACACCCCACGCGTTAATTTCCTCCGATTTCCACTCAATCCTCAAACCTTTCCTCCACCTAGCCAAAATGGCTGGTTTTCTGCCAGTGGCGTGGGTCCCAAAAGGGCAAAAGTACTCCCTGAAACGCTCGATAAACTCCTGGATTTGTAGCTACGTTCTTGGGGGAATTTTATTCGCTCTTTCTATGGTTGGCCTCACTGAGGATTTAAATTCCGCCCCAATTAGAATGAAAAACCCCGTCGTTAAGTATATAATCATGATTGACCTTGGCGAAATCGTGGTCACAGTTTTGGCGGGAATTTTAACTTCACCTTTGAAGCTTTCGTACTTTTGGAAAATGTTGGCCGGTTTTGGGAGAATCGAGCAGGTTCTCCCCTCTTACTACCCCCCAGAGGAGAAAAATAGATGTCTTTGGGGTGTTGTTATTTTTCTGGTTTTAGCCTCAAGTGTGATTTTCTTCGATTTTGTGGTGTGGGGGCTGAGTGTGTCCGATTTGGGCGTTTTTTTCAAACGGTTTCTGACGGTTTATGTTTCGTATTTTTTGATTTTCGTACAACAAATTCCGTTTTGTTTTTTCGTCAGACTTATTCGGCTCAAAATTGAGGATTTGAATGGGGCTTTCAGGGCCGGACTAGAGCGGGCGCAAAATATGGAAAATCAATGGATTTCGGTGATGAAAAAGGTTAAGCAACAGAAAGTTGTGTTGACTTATGAACGGTTGAATGACTTTATGAGGTTGGTTGAGGAGATTGAGGAGGTTATTGAGGCCATTAATGGCTTTTATGGAGTTCACACTTTGGTATTTTTATATATTTTTTTTTTGAAAAATTATGTAATTAATGTTTTATTCTAGTTTATTTTATTTAGCTGTCTGTTACATTTAGTGGTGACTCCGTATTATTTATTAATTGAGGTGATTAACGATGGTTATCTTCCGTTTATTTTACTTCAAATTGCTTGGATTATTTTACATCTGATTCGTTTGATGGTGATTGTGGAAATTTGTCAACGCTGTATAGATGAAGTAAGCTCAGTTTTGGCCAAAATACATTTTTTAACAAAGTTTTAGTATCAAGTCACAACAAATTTGGTCTTGAAATTGTTAACAAGTCCTATACTTCCGGATATTAAAGAACAAGTCGAAATTTTGGCTGTGCAAGTGTCGAATAAAAAAATCAAATTCTCGTCGTTTGGCATGTTGAAGATTAGTCGATCTCTGTTGACTTCTGTAAATTAACTTCATTTTTTTTAATAGAAATTATATTTGGTTTGTTTTAGTTTGGAGGTGCACTTACGACGTTTTTAGTGATTTTGTTTCAGTATGGTGGTATTCATGGAAATATTTACTGAGATACAGCGTACAGCGTATACCAACTATATAAATCACAGATATTTGCAGTTATAAAAATTGTGATTGGATTTAATGAAATAATGTGATTTCTTTCGTTAATGACATTTTGGTGATAAAGATTATACTATACAGGGTGTTTCACATAATTTTACGAGACCTGCGCCTGTAAGATGCAATCAATAAATAATACATATTCCGATACGAACTCGATTCCAAATTTTGAATGGATAGTTTGTTTACCCTTTAAAAAATTACGTTTTTTGTTAGTTAGTGATTAAGATAGATAAACTAGAATCATATTCATGTCATCTCTTGATAAAACAAATGTTAATTGTTTCTGGAAAAACTGCAGTTTATGACTATATTAATGAAACAATGAGTAGTTTGACAACTAATGTCATGGGTTTCCAAAAATTAAATAATTAAATGTGTATTTTTTGTATCCAGTGTTTTGTGACTTTTGTATATTTGGGTACGTACAGTTGAAGACAAAATACTTTGGTCGTCACGTCACTTTTCTGACACTTTAATGTAATTCAAGCTTTAACATCAAAAATTAATGACAATTTCAAATTAATGACAACTATTATATTTTCCTATCAAAAATATGTACAACTTGTCAACTATGATTGACAGTAGCTAAAAATAAGGTTAACAATCCTAAAGCATGCTTTACAATTTAATGTCACTCAAGTAACATTAAAAAGTGACGACCAAAGTATTTTGTCTCCAACTGTACATACGTGAGGAGCAAGCCTCGTAAAATTGTGTGAAACACCCTGAATAAATGTAATTTGTTTTTTGTGTTATTGCAAGTTAAGTGTTAAAAGAAAATAACTATTATTTTTCCATCTTCCGATTTGCTTTAATGGTAATAATGATAAAGAATGTTCAATTGCCGTGTCCACAATTATAGCTACTGAATATTTAACCAATCTGTTTTTCACATAAAATTTGAAAATTCTACATTTAAAACATTGTTATCCTAAACAACAAAATTATAATAAATTATAGTATAGTATAGTAAACTATAGTAGAATTTTTTTTTGACAACATAATTTTTGGTACCCGGATCGGTTTATTGCTAATAACTCCGGAATTATTGACGATAACAACTATTGTTTAGTACCGTTTAGTAAGTTTCTATCATATGAAAAAAAGGTCATTGTTCTACGATAAATAGTTATCCCGAAAATTGCTGTTAAAGTCAAAAATATTCAAAATATTAACGTTGAAAAACTCAATGTTTCTTAGAAAAAATTATATCTATAAAATGGCCAAAACTAAATTTAAAAAAAATCAATTTTTTTTACTCAAGCATAAAAGCTTCAAAAATATCGCAAATCATTTGGCAAATTTTGCTTCAGCCAGAAATAGTGCCTGCATGAATAATCAAGAGCCACGTGACCGAAGTAACTAAGCAACCAATGGATGATCTCTAAACGTATTTGTGGCAAAGGTGACGTGACTTTCAATCATTTATAAAGGCACTGTATAATTTGCAGACAATATCTAATGCACTTTTTTGGTTTATTGACAATAACTCCGGACTTGTTGATGATAACCTCTTATGTTTGGTACCGTTGTAAAGAAAATTTAATTTTCTATCATATAAATGAGTGTTCTACGATAATTAATTATCGAGAAAATTTCTGATAGTCAAAAATATCCAAAATTATAAATACGGCTATAACTGCTAAACTATTAATAATTTGACGGTTTTCTCCATGCCAATCGATTCCCCGGAACATTTTACATACATATATTTCCGTCAAAATGTTGTATCATTGAGGTACAGTTTTGCCGCAATTTACAAAATAAAAAAAAAGAAAATTTTGTTAAAAAATGGTGTCTTTGAACATATCGCAGATTCGATTTAATTTCTATCTGATAGATTTTGATGCGCTGTTTACGAATCTGTCAAGCTTTTTAAGTTTCGTCGTTTAAAAATTGAAACTTTTTTGCGAGATATCGATTTTACGATTCCTCAATCAAAACATTTAATTTTTTTTTAAACTTGACCCAATAACCCATTATACTTAAACTTCACATTTTCCTTCAAAAATTTATTGCAGGAAATAAATAAAACACAAGAACCATGTAACGTCCTACATCTTTTCTTAAAATCAAAAGTAATTACAACAAGTACGCCTTAATGCGATGATGTACAGTTCACAACGTTACATATAAAAAAATGACTTTGAAACCTAGATGGAAATAATGAAATTAAGCAGTAGACTCGGCTAACTTCTCAGCTTTTTGTACGACCTCTTCAATGGGACCGACCATATAGAACGCAACTTCGGGCAAATGGTCGTACTCTCCTTGAAGAATCTTCTGGAATCCTTTGATGGTTTCCTGCAATGGTACCAACTTTCCGGCATGACCGGTGAAAACTTCAGCAACTTGGAAAGGCTGCGACAAGAAACGCTGAATCTTCCTGGCTCGCGCTACTGTCAACTTATCATCTTCAGACAATTCATCCATACCCAAAATGGCGATAATATCCTGGAGTGATTTGTAGTCCTGAAGGATTTTCTGGACGCCACGAGCGATATTGTAATGCTCCTGACCGATAATGTTCGGATCCATAATACGCGAAGTGGAGTCGAGAGGATCGACAGCAGGGTAAATACCCAACTCAGCAATGGCGCGAGACAACACTGTGGTGGCGTCCAAGTGAGCGAAAGTGGTTGCAGGGGCGGGATCAGTCAAATCATCAGCAGGGACATAAATGGCCTGGACTGACGTAATTGAGCCCTTTTTCGTAGTGGTAATTCTTTCCTGCATGCTACCCATCTCAGTGGCTAGGGTGGGTTGGTAACCCACGGCGGAGGGGATACGACCCAGTAAAGCAGACACCTCTGAACCGGCTTGGGTAAACCTTAAATTAATAATTAATTAATCAAAAAAAAACCCTCGAAATTAACGTACCTGAAAATATTATCAATGAAAAGCAATACGTCTTGTCCTTCCTGATCTCTGAAATATTCAGCGACTGTCAATCCAGTCAAAGCAACTCTAGCCCTAGCACCTGGGGGCTCGTTCATTTGTCCATACACCAACGCTACCTTCGATGTCTTATCCTTCAAGGAAATGACCCCAGACTCAATCATTTCATGGTACAAATCGTTCCCTTCTCTCGTCCTTTCTCCTACACCAGCAAATACCGAATAACCACCATGGGCCTTGGCTATATTATTGATCAGTTCCATAATCAAGACAGTTTTGCCGACTCCAGCGCCTCCAAAGAGCCCGATTTTCCCACCCTTAGCATAAGGAGCCAACAAATCGACGACTTTAATCCCCGTTACGAGAATTTCTTGCTCGACACTCATTTCAACGAATTCGGGGGCTTCAGCGTGGATGGAGGCAAGTTTGTCGGTGGGTACAGGGCCCCTCTCGTCGATCGGTTCACCAATGACGTTGATAATACGACCGAGAGTCTCCGCACCGACGGGAATACGAATGGGGTAGCCGGTGTCGACGACGGGTTGACCTCGGACAAGACCTTCAGTACCGTCCATGGCGATGGTACGAACGGTGTTTTCACCCAAATGTGAGGCGACTTCCAAGACAAGACGAGGGGATCGGTTTTGGACTTCGAGGGCGTTGAGGATTGGGGGGAGGTTGTCGTCGAATTGGACGTCGACGACGGCACCGATTACCGCGACGACTTTACCGTTGATCTTGCCGGCGGCTGCCGCCTTGGCAGCGTATCCACGTTCTGAAACGAAAAGAATTTACGTTAAAATTCAGTCTTGACACTGTTTAAAATGTCATTTCAAACACATTACATAAACGTTAATTTCTGAAAAAAAAAGCCTAAAAAATAAAACAATCTCTAATACAAGGTGTTAAAAAAAGATTGTAAAATATTTTAAGAGGGAATATTATGGACCAAAACAAACAAAAGAATTAATAAACATGGGTCTGCAAAGTAACGGTTTCGAAGATATCGAAAATTATTAGTTTTTTTGAAACATTTATTTGCAATCTATTCAAACAAAAAAATGAAGCTAAAAATTTTCAGATCTCCGAAACCGTTACTTTGCAGACCCAAGTTTACTAAATAATTTACAAGCTTTTCTTAACACCCTGTATAAAGTATAAAGATACAGTATAAAGTTACAAAGATTTTCTCTTATGGTGTTTTCAATGTTACATTTTGACTTTCTAAAAAAAAATCTTTATACAAGCATAAAAGCTTCAAAAAATTAATGAAAAAAGTCTTCCGCAAATTATTATTTTTTCCTTAATAGCTTAGTAACTTGTTTTCAATTAATAATAAGAATGAATTAAAACAAAATTATTAAAAGTTCCGTAAGAATTCAAATATTTGCTTCAGCCAAATGGTGCCTGCATAAATAATCAAGAGCCACGTGACTAAAGTAACTAGTGGAGAATCCCTAAACGTATAAGTGTCAAAGGTCATGTGACCTTCGATCATTTATAAAGGCACTGTATAATTTGCAGACAATATCTAATGCACTTTTATTATTTCTTAATTTTTTAAAAGCAAAATGAATAATTAAATCATCACAAATTACATCACAATCAAGCAAATAAATAAATTATTGTTTAAATTTTATTTTCTTACATTCCTCTGTCTTTTTTTAAATATTAAACTAGGATTTTGTGGGGTTTTTTATAGGATAAAAAGACACACTGTGTTTTAAATATTTATTTTGTTAATTTTGTTTATAGTTCAAAAATTTGTATAAAAACTAGACTGAAACCATAAATTCTTTTGATGATTAAATGTAATTTTGAAATTTTGTACAATTTAAATGCGAAAAGATGGTGTTAAAAATTAATGAGTACATTTTTTGAGATGTGGTAACAACAAAAATGAAAAATTTCATAATTTTGATAACATCTTACACACATCTTATTAATCTTTCAAGGACATTATGTGAAGACATAATGAAACTGAAGTGTCTGAAAGTGTAAAACAAGATCTACTCTGGCTAATTAATAATTTAAAAAAATACAGCGTGATTCAAAAGAACCGTACAATTATTTGGGAGGTTTTTAGAACTAGTGAATTACCTTAGGTAGATACAGATTTGTCAACAAGAAATTACCACCTAGGATTTAAACTTCTAGGAAAATTGCGTTTTTCATGTTGTTTGTAACTAGAATTTTCAGAAGAAATTTTGAATGCGTGAGGTTGGTTACCCCTTGTTGTTGACGGTTGACGTTTTCTTTTAACCTAATCAAATTTATGGCAACCTATTCACGAATATCCCTAAATCCCAGGAAGTAATTTCTTGTTGATACGATAATATAACCCTTTAAAATTGCAACTTTAATTTTAATTTTTCATTAAATAGAAAAGGTAATTTTGTGTTTTATTAGTATTTAGAATATTAAAAAAATCAATAAAATCTTAAGAAAAATAAATAAATGTAGAAATCTTCTGAAAAAGTAAAGTTGGCAACAGGACATTGAATTGAATACAGGCAAATATGCAACGTTGCCAATTTGTGTTATCTTTAACCATTCATATTTTCAAATTTATGCGGTTTCGAAAAAATATAAACGCAATTCTGAGCTTCTATTAACGTTTTCTACCACTATGTAAAAAATTATCCGACACTTTTGAACCACCCTGTATAACTATCATTTATAAAAAGGGGCGTATCGTAACAGAAACACTGTAAAAATTACTAAAATATTCCTTAAAAATAAAATTTAACAGATTTATAAGTTTTTTTACTTTGTTTATGATAATTACAAAGAATTTTGAAAAACCCTAAGTTTTGGGAAAAATTAACCTCAAGGTTGGATATTCCTTTTAGAGCAAACACTTCCCTTGAAGAATATTTTTCGAAAATCATTGAAAATTAACTTCTGAACAACTTTATTATTGCCAATTTTGCCCTAATTTTCGTAGAAATCACCTGAATTTCTGTGCAAGATGGCGGACAGCCCTACATTATGTAATCGAAATCAAGGTTCAAAACGCATTTTTCGGTGTAAAAAATCGCTCATCTGGTCAATACGAAACCGGTGCAACTAATCCTCAAAAAATGTGCCCCAAATGGGGCTACTTCGTGAAAAATCAGGGGAGCAAGTGGCCGGGTCGATGAGAGGATTTGGGGTGGGTGAGTGGGATTTAAGCGAAGTAAAACAACTTACGGGATCCATTATACACGGAGACGACTTTCAACGATTCACTTCCAAGTTTTTCGATGGTTTTTCCAGCCAAAAGGCTGGATCCAGCGCGAGCCACGGCACCCAACATGGTCTCTGGACTTCTGTAGAGTGATTCGCAAAGTCGCCGCTAGGTTAGCACACTTCCGATCGATTGCGCAAGCGTACAATGCAAAAAACCGGCGCTAAATTTAAACCCAATTATGTAACTTTTCAATGACACTGTCACTCAAAAAAATGATTAGAGAGAGGGGGGCGGTGAAGTAAATTCGATTTAAAAGAAAATTGTTAAAATCTTTATTAACGACAAAAGTTACGCAGATCAAAAAAATGTGTTGGAACGCAATTATGTACAAATGTCAGCGGAAAAAAAGTTTAGGTATGATAAAAATGATAAAGTTGCAATCATTCATTTTCATTTTGGCCAGCTCGAAACCTAACGATTTTCACATAGAAAAATAGAATCGCTTTCTAAACGTCAAACAAACAAGATGCATAAAAACCAAAATAAAAACAAATACAGCCTATTGTAAATATTTCAATAAATCTTAGCCATTTTCCATTATTTATATTTGATATGATCATCCTCAACTCGTTCTAAATAAATTACACGATTTATATCAACTAAAAATAACCCAAAAATGGCTTCACCCCCATTTTAAATACTAACAGTACTTGGATGAAACAAAATCACATAATAGGCTTTATTCTAACATCACGTGATTTAATACTTAATTAAGTGTGACAAGAAAACAATTTTTAGACCTTATTTCATACATTACTTGAAACAGTACATTAGTATTTAAAATGATAAAAAGTATAGACGAGTAGCTATCCTAATCTTAAAAATAAATTAAATTCACTTCTTCTTGTTTTTATTAGTACCTCCTCTAGGTGGCGTCACCGGCCTTCCAGCATTCATATTATACTGAAACTTCCGTTTGTCAGCCGGTTTCAGGATTTGAAAACTGCACATCAACGTTTCATCCACTGACATCATCGCTCCAGCATTATCAAACTCACCTAAAAAAAATTGTACACGAGAAATACACAAATTTCTTAACTTACCGCAATAATTTGGAGCGCTAAAAAGCGTGACAAGTTGTCGTTTAGCGAAAAACTCGTACCCGTCCTCGACGACTTGATGAGCTCGACAAATCAGATCGAAATCGTGTTTGTGAAGGAATTTCCCAACAACTTCAGCCCCGAAAGTAAAACTCACGCCACGGTCGTTCTCACCCCAGCCCATCTGGTCTTTGTCGGGGTCCGACCACAACAGGTCACACAGGAGCCCCTGGTCGGGGACGTCAGTCGGCCGCATTATCCTCCGGATTTGCTCCATCGACTGCAGGTCGGGACTGAGGCCCCCGTGACAACAGAAAATCTTCTCGTCGACGATCGCCGCCACCGGCAGGCAGTTGAAGCAGTCGGTGAAGGTTTTCCATAACTTTATGTTGTATCTGACGACAAATTAAATCACTGTAGAGCACTATTAAAAAAAACACAAATTGTTCATTTACGAATTAAATTGATAAAGAAATGAAAATTGAGCAATGATATAGGAAAAAAATTATGTGATAAATAGTTAGTCACTTGTTTGTGATTCACTTACACGATAACAAGGATAAAGTCTTAAGGTGAATCAAGACAATTTATTGTTTGTGTTGCTACTATATTGAAAAAAACTTGCATGGAACATAAATTACCATTTTTATGTGCACTCAAACCTTACTTGTTGATGAAAAATACAAAAAACTGTTTTACACAATCGTCAACAAAATTATTTTCCTCGCCGCCTACTCACCTCCTTTTGCATTCGTCGTAGAATCCGTATATGCGGTTGATAGAGGCGCACTCGTGGTTGCCTCTAAGAAGGAAGAAATTCTCGGGATATTTTATTTTATAGGCGAGTAAAAGACAGATGGTTTCCAATGACTGTTTTCCACGATCGACGTAATCACCAAGGAACAGGTAATTCGATTCTGGTGGAAACCCCCCATATTCGAAGAGACGAAGGAGATCGTAATATTGACCGTGGATATCACCTACGCAAAAAAAAAATAAACAATAAAATCGATATTCACTCTGTCATGGAGTGTACACTGCGATTTTAATTAGCTTGATCTAGTGACGTAATGTCATTAATCACAACATTTGTCATTAATTTTACCCCAAGTTACATAAGAAAAAATCGATTTGGTTTCTCAATTTACAAGTGTTAAGTGAATTAACCTTTAGATAAGGAAATTATAAACAAATACGCTGGGGGCTACTCACCGCAAATCTTAAGTGGCGCCTCCAATTCCAGTAAAATCGGTTGCGAAAGGAATATTTCCCTGGACTTGAGACACAGTCCTCGGATTTCGCTTTCAGTTAATTGTACATTTTTGCCGGGTCTTGCTCCGCGTACTGGAAAAAAGGCAAATTTTAGGAATTTTTGACATTTTACAAGGCGTTTACCGAGGACGCCATTAGAACTGTCAACAGAAATTGACCTTCAACAATTACCTTCCAATAAACGGGCTATTATACTATCAATATTTAGTTTGTCGGCTTCGGCCATTTGCTTCGATCTTTCTTAGTTGACTAAAGCGAATTTTATCACTTAAAACTACCGGATGGCTCGGATTTTTTAAGATCTTCCAAGAGCCTCAGTGAAATAAACACTACTTTTTCGCTTCGACTCGCGCGGAGGCCGAAGCTAGCCGCGAACAAGAGTACCAACAACACAACTAAATCCCCCAAAAATCAACAATTAAAATTAGTTTTACAACGAAAAATGACAACAATACGAAACTCAAGCACACAAATTACACATTCTTGGCAATATGCAATCAAAAACTTGTAAAATTAAGTCAAAATTTTCGTTTTGGTTACTTGTGGTATCTTGTAGCCAACTTCGTGTCACTGGAACCAACATGGAGCCGGTGTAAACAAAATATTTTTGCAACAATTTCAAATAATTCAGAAATGAAATAAAATACGAATAAATCAAGTAATGGCCGAGCCTGAAGAAAATCAAGCCGAACTAGAGGTCCCTGAGGATCTTTTCCGGGACGTAAAGTTTTACGTTAGTGGAGAAATCTCTGAAAAGGTGAAAAATTTTACCCTCCAAAAGGCAACTAATCGAAAAATTTCTTTTAGGTGGTGGATTTGTTAAAACGTGGGGGTGCCGAACGTTTGAATTATTTTTACGATTATGTCACACATTTAATTTGTGGTGATAGTCCCGAAGAAACTGATTTAACTGACGCCAATGATTTATATGAAATTCCGGCGGTTACTTCCAAGTGGATTTTTATGTGCGTCCGATTGAAAAAGTTAGTCAACACAAAACCGTACTCTTATAATTTACAAAAGTTATTTTCGAATTTGATTTTTTGCCTATCGAAGATTGGAAGTGATAGAGAGACACTTTGGGCCATTATAACCTATCATGGGGGCCTAGTCCAACTAAATTTGAATAACAGATGCACCCATCTAGTTACAGTTGACACAAATTCACCAAAATTTGACAAAGCTACCAACTTAGGGCCGGAAAAGATTACTATAATAACGCCTGATTGGATTATTGAATCAGTCAAAAATAATTCACTTGCACAGTCGGATTTGTTTCATCCAAAGTTAATTCAATGGCCCAAAGTGGTCAAGCATGAAAGTACAATAGCTATTACAGGTTTTGAACCTGAAAAAGTTGAACCGGTTGATAAGCCAAATGATAGTATGGTCACTGATTCAACCCAGGCTTTATTAGACAAATTAAAACAAAGAATGCCTTGGATTCAACCTCAAACAACCACAACTGCCGACATCGTACCACCAAATGTTGTTGCGCCAAGTTTTCTCAACAAAAATCAACAAAATCAACGGTCGTTTCCACCTCAACAACAACAACAGCAATCGCCACAACCTGTCATTCAAACGAATCAACAAATCCCTCGAAGTATCGTCCATCATACACCTCAACCTCAACAATTGATACAACAACCACAACAGCAGCAACAACAACAACAGTTTAATGTTCCAAATCAGGTTCATTTGAACCGACTAATTGGCCAACAACAAGCCCGCCCAACTCTTCAACAGTTGCGAGGTCAATTAGGTCCGAATCAACTACATCAACATTTGTTACAACAGAGGATAGCTCAACAAAATCAACAAAATGCGCCGCGTCCTCTTACTATTCAACAGCAACAGTTGTTGCAACAGCAGTTGGCCCAAAGACAGTTGTTACAAAATCAACAACAACAGCAACCTCAAACGCAATTTGGAAATGTTATTCAACAACAACAACATATTCTACAACAGCAACAACAAAAAATATTTGTTTCGCAAAATCAACAACAGATTGTACAAAATCAACCAAATTTGGCCGTACAACAACAACAATTTAATCAAAATCAACAACAACAGTTCAATCAACAATTTGTACAAAATCAACCTGATTTAAATCAGCAACAGACTCAACAACAGAATTTATTGAATCAACAGCAACAGACACCACAAACTTTGTTAAGTCAACAACCACAAGCTCAACAACAAAATTTGTTGACCCAACAACAACAACAAGTACAACAACAGAATTTGTTGGTTCAACAGACGCAACAACCAAATGTGTTGAACCAACAACAATTTCAACCAAATACTATCGTTAATCAACAATTATTGTTGAATCAACAGCAGGGTCAATTCAATCAACAACAACCAGCACAACCTCAACAACAAAGGCCGCAAATAAATCAACATTTATGGCAACAGCAGCAACAACAGCAACAAATGACGATCAGGCATCCTGTTAATGTTGTTCAAGGTCCTCGAATCCAGTGGTCTCCGACCCAACAACCGAATCAACCTCAACGTCAATTCATCCATTTAGACGCCCAAACTCACAATGAGTTACAAAAAATGAATCCCGAACAGCAGGCCATGTTCGTTCAAAGATTAAAACAAAAACAACTTTTGATGCAGAAACAATTAACACAAAGAGCTGGTGGGGGGCACATTTTGATTCGAGGATCTGTACCTCCAGGTCTCAACCCCCAACAGCAAATGCAGTGGTTACAAAGGCAAGCTAAACAACAAGGTGTTGTACTTCAACAACAAACCATAACTCAACCGAATATTCAACACACGCCGGGACTAAGTCCGATTCAACAGCAACAACAACAGCAACAACAACCTCAATTCGACCAAAATCAACAACAGCAATTACAATTGAGACAATATCGGTTGCAACAACTTCAACTACAGCGCGAACAAGCACAGAAAAATCAAATCGCCGCTGTACAACAACCGATTCAAGGAGTTGTCCGACCTCTTGGACCGGTAATTCCCGATTCGACAACGAATCCTCCCGAAGCCAATTCTCAACAGTTGGTTGTTAATGCGAAAACCAAGACAGCGTTGGCGAATATGTTGAGCAATCGGTTGCAGAGTGGAGGAGGGACGGTTCCAGTTCCAGAGGCAATCCCCGAACCATCAGCGGCAGGAACGCTAAGGTTAAAAGTTGAAAAAAACATAAAATTGATGTTGATTATTGTTGTTGTAGGTTGATGACGGCTCAACATAACGCCGCTCTCAATCCGAATAATCGACCACAGGATTTAATAGCGTTGCAACAACAAAGGAGGGTTATTAATGGCCCCAATGGTGAGATTATAAGGGCACTGGTGCCCCAACCTGGACCTGTTATCGCACAGACTGAGCCTCCGAAGGTGCAGTTTTCCCCTAGAGCGGCGGTACCCATGCAGCACAGGCCGGGGCCCTTCTACGGCCATAACCCCAACCTAAAACGTGAGCTAAAAACAATCAAATTTCGCGCTTTTATTTAAAATTTTTCAGTGCCCCCTGATTTGTTTCTCCTGGGGTGCATTTTCGTCGTTGTTGAAATTGAGCGTTATTTAGACGAATCGTTGCCCGGTTGGAAACAAAAAATTGAAAAACATGGAGGTAACACCATACTATACTAAGCTATGCTATGCTATGCTATGCTATGTTATGCTATACTATGCTATGCCATGCTATGCTATGCTATGCTATGCCCTTCTATGCTCTGCTGTGTCATGCTATGCTATGCTATGCTATGTTATGCTATGCTATGCTATGCTATGCTAATGCAATGCTCTGCTGTGCTGTGCTATATTATGTTATGTTATGTTAATACTATGATATGCTATACTATACTGTGCTATGCTATGCTATGCTATACTATACTATACTATACTATACTGTGCTATGCTATGCTATACACCTAATTTTGTGGTTTCTATGCAGGCGAGGTGGAAAAGCAGTACTGCAATCGCGTGACGCACGTCCTATGCGAGACGCAACGTCACGGAGTGGTGATGCAAGCCTTAAGAGATTGTAAACGTTGCATAACAATATATTGGTTGAGTGACGTAATGAAACGTAAACAAGTGCTGCCACCTTGGACCGCTTTACATTTACCAACTATCTATCTAGATACGACTCCTGCCGCTAAACATTTGATAACCTTGAGCGGATTTACAGGATGTGACCGAAATCGTGTCAAACATATGATTAATTATACAGGTGCTAAGGTTTGTGTTTTGACAAAATCTCAAAAAAATGACAATTGACAAGTGACATTTCAGTTTACGTCATATTTTTCGAAACATAATACGTTACTTATTGCGGCTAAAGGAGAGGGTGCTAAATACAATCATGCGAAGAAATGGGGGATTCCTGTGGTGAATGTTCAATGGTTGACTGATATTATGTTGGGTAATTTTACGGCATTGAATCAAATGGAAAATATAATGTACCAACAGTTTCCATCGCCGCCTAATTTTAGTTTTGATCCGAAATTAGTACCGAATTTGATGCGTAAGTATTTGAATTTTTAAATTTCCCGCTTTAAATTTTTTGACAGATGCATGGAAAATGCCGATAAATATATCACAAGAGTCATACGAACGTGTCAAAAGAAGTTCATCGCCGGTTTTAATGCCAAAAAACGCGAAAAAAATGAAAACTGAACAAACAGATGAAAATGACAACGTCGATGAAGGTGTTGAAGTTAATGCAAATTACAGGATTTTGTTTTCCATGTCTTCCGAAATTGCGAATTTGCAAAAGATTGTCAAGTAAGTCGTGGAATTTGTCACTATTGTGTTATTTTTTATTTGTTTTAGGCAACTAGGTGGCATTGTTGCCAAATCTCATCAAGACTGTACTCATCTAGTAATGCCAACTCTGACCCGTACGAATAAACTCCTCTTCTGTATTTGTCGTGAGGTGTTTATAATGCCCGAGCAGTGGCTCAAAGACTCACAAGCGGCTCGGAAATTTCTCGACGAGGCTAATTACAGCCTAGACACCAAAGAATTCAATAGTGAATATAAATGTGACTTTACTCAAACATTGAACACTAAAAATCGCAGTAAACTATTCGAAGGGAAATTCTTCTGGATAACTCCGAGTGTTTTTCCGAGTAAAAGTATTCTCGTTGAATTAGTACAGAGTTGCGGGGGGGTCGTTGAAAAAATACGAAGAACTTCGGCACAAATCGAAGCGACTAACATCAATTCGCCCTACAGTTATATCATAATAACGCACGAGAATGATATTCATTTAGTTGCGGATTTGTTAAGAAATAAGAAAGATAAGGTGAGGATTGTTTGCAGTGCCGAATTGATTTTCAGTGCCATTTTGAAACAAACTTTTGAAGTTGAACCGTTTGCAGTCAAAGTTTTATGAAATTAATATATAAATAATGCGGTGTTGATATTCATAGGACCAAAACAATGTTTCTCAATTATTTAAGGTTTAAAGTTTTTGTTGGTTTAATTTGTTGATTTTAAGCACCCTGGTTATATAAATTGACGTTTGTGTAAAAGTAACAGACTTAAATTTGTGATTTTTTTTCTTATTGTATCAGATTTTGTAAAATTTCTAAGATAATAAAAGTTAAATTATGCATTTTAATTTTCTATCATTTTTCGAGTACGGTCCTGTCGCTCCTCAACATGTCAAGCCCAACCCTGTCTACTTACAATAAAAAAAAATTGTAATAGAAAAAATATCAACTCATTTTATTATTTTTACGTAATAAATAGTTGAATTTACGTCTGTTCAGCTGTTAAATATTAATGAAAAATAGTTAAATCACCGTAATTATCGTTTTAGTGTTTTTGCATTTTTTTGGTTGGTATTGATTAAAAAAATAAATTAAAAAAACGTTAATTATTTCATTAGAATAAAAAATAAATCAAACACATAAAGGCACACCGTTTTTAATTGTTTTTATTCCGATATTACCACAGGAAAATGAAAAATGCTAGGTTGTTTTGGTAACTTTTTGTATTGTGGTTGGCTGCTCTGTGACAAACGTCAGATCTGTCACACCTGTAAAAGTAGCGGCTTTACGTCAAAACAATAATAAATTAACCGTAAAATCGTGAAAATATGTGAATGTGAAGGTCGTGTGGCCCCCTTGAAGTGTCCAATGGCGACTGCAGTGGAACTCCAGTCGGTCGACAATTCGTGGATGGAATTTTGCGAGAGACATGCAAGTATCGCGGCTCAAGACTTCTCTAAAAGTTGCATCCAATTCATGTCTTTAAACCTCTCTGAATCGGCAAAAGCGACAATAACTTACAAAGATTTCCTCAAGAAGTTTCTCGACACATTTACCGAACACTTTGAAACCGACTTTAACAAACGCAAATCTCAAATTAACAAAATTCCAAATGGGGCCTCTCGAATCGTCGACGACATTTCGGAGCCCGAAGAGGGCTCTCCGAAAATGCCCCATAAGCCGTTTTTCCGAAGGTAAGCACTGGGCAAGTCGCGTTAAAAGCACCACCGGGATTATTTCAGGTTAAGTTTCAAAATGTTACGAAAAGGCAAAGATTTATTCCACAAACAGCACTCGGATGAGGTCGATTTGGCTCACAATAAGACCAAATTGGCCAAAATAGTCGTCGAATGCCGCAAGGAGGGGATTGTGAGCTACTCAACTCCGGAGAGTCTCGACCAGCCTGGGGGCCCCCCTAAATGGGAGAAATGCCGCTTAGCCCTAGTCAAAGCCGTGGGCGGATACATGCTCGAATTCTACTCACCACCGAAAGCCACTAAAGTAGCCCCCTTCACAAAATTAAATAATTTCCTAACTGTCAAATTTTCAGCCCCGTAGCGGCGTTTTTTGTGCCCTAATCACCGAAGCCCGCGAGACTACTGCCCTGGAAATGCCCGACCACGAAAATACTTTCGTTCTCAAAGCCAACAATAGCCTCGAATTTGTGATTTTAGCCCGAGACACCGATGATATGAGGTTGGTAAAATGTTAGGTTATGGTCGACTTGACGTTTGTTTCAGGTCGTGGCTTGCTACGATTAAGTATTGCATACGGTTGGGGGCGGGTTATGGTGACACCGCCCCCGGGGATCACCGCGACTATCCTTCAGACGCCCCTGAGCTGCCCCCGAGACATGTCTCGGGTCGAGGAGGCGACCGGTTGGCGTCCAATAGTAATTTTGATATGTACCCCTCAACCGGTGATAATATCTGTATGTAGCCCCTTTTACCCCCCCAGCCCCCTTGTTTAATAAACTTCTTTAAAGCAATGGAAACTGATATTGGCCAGACTTTAAAAAAAGAGTTTTGGTTCCATGGCACTCTCGGTCGGTCCGAAGCAACAAATCTAGTCCTCCATGACGGTGCTAGGGGCCATGGTTTATTTTTGGTTCGCCAAAGTGAGACCCGAACCGGCGAATTCGTCCTAACTTTCAATTTCCAAGTAATTGAATTAAATTAAATTTCGTTTTAATTAAATTAAATTATCACAGGGCCGGGCTAAGCACCTCCGAATGACTATCAACGATCAAGGCCAATGCCGAGTCCAACACTTTTGGTTTCAGTCCATCTACGAAATGCTCGAACATTTCCGACAACAGCCGATTCCACTCGAAAGCGGTGGTAACTCTGACGTCACACTAACCGATTTCGTTGTAAATTCCGCCGCTAGAGGGCAGCTCCAAGGCTCGATAGGGCGGAGCTCCCAAGCTTCCACCAATGGTGTGCACGATCGAAGAGTCCCGCCCATACCCGAAATAAGACAAGTGAGATAAAAATGGATGTGTTCAGTTTTTTGTATATATTTTTGTGTACATACGAGTGTGCTTTGTAGCTGGCTTTTGTTTGATCGGTGTGCTTACACTACTTAATTTTTACTCTCCCTGTAAATAAGTTTGTGCAATTGAACGATAATTAAGTGTATTTAAGTATTTATTTTACATTTAAGAAATATTTGGTAGCTTTATTTTTAAGTTCATTTATTTTTTTATTTATAAAAATACAAAACTATCCATAGCAATAGTACAAATTATACAAAATAAATTACTGATTTTACTGCTTGTTTTATTTTTTTATATGTTATCCTTATCGTGGCTTTATCTGACGCATTTTTTAGGTCCAAACACATAACGGGAGTGTACGAACTCAGGAAACAACACTGGAACAAATTTCTGAAGCAAGAGCTGTTGAAAATCAGTACAGTTTTGTTTAAAAAACAATGTTTCACAAAATAAAAGTCAGTATTATAAAATAGTGATCATATCTTCATATGTTTCTGCTCTTATTTTTTTCAAAGCTGCTTTAAGACATGGTCACTATTTGAAAAAAAATCAAATAAGGACAATAGATGTTTCAGAAGTGTACCCCTCCCCCTAAAAACTGTAATATATGTTATATACGTCATGATATGTTTTATTTCACTGTCTACTCCTTAAGACTACTCAATTGTTCATGTAAAAACTCCACAAATTGTGAATCGGTCACAGTTTCAGTTTTGACTTTAATAACATCAGTGATTTGGTTTAATTTCAAAGCTAATACATGTTTACATGTCAGACTGGTGTTGTCTTCTAAAACTTGCGACTGGAAAGCTTGACATTGGCAAAAATTGATATCGTTATAAATCGTGTATCTTTCCAAGTTACTTCCGACTTTGTAAATACTGCGAGTCTTGTCTTTAGTCTCGTATTTGGTAATTTTGCAAGTTTCGAGTAATTCGCTTGCTTGAGAAAGCGTAGAGCCGAAAAATGAGTGCAACTGTGTGAGGGTCTCGTTGGGTACTGAAATAAAAAAATTTAAGGTTATGAAAGGAGGCGTTGATGTAATTACGTTTTTTTTGGCCTTTGTACGATTTTTCTGTTTCTTGGAGTAACTCGAAGGCCAGTTTTGGAACAACGGTCGCATTCAACATCATTTCAAACAAACGGTAATACTTTAAAGAAACAGGGGGTGACCATTCTGTGATGTTGGCACCGCTGTGTCAGTCTCACCAGTTTATTTCTCATCAACTAAAGAAGAAAATAACAAAAACCCAAGTTTTCTGTAAATTTCTGCCCAATTAAACTGGAAATGAAGCAGAAAAATGTCTCTGTTACTGATTAGTGTCTAGGGTGTATCAATAAAAACACACCTTTTAACCCCAAAATACTAATGAGATACACAAATAATTATTACACTCAACAAATAAGTAAAATAAACACATGGCCACATTATTTATTTTCAAGAAACAAGAAGCAGGTGGTTTACTGCTGGATTTCCAGAATCGACCACAGGGGGTGATTATTTTTTGATGTTGGCACCATTGTGACAGTTTGACCTGTTTAGTGTTCATTTGTTGTCAACTGATTGTAAAGAAAAAATATGAAAAACGTGAGTTTTCTGTAAATTTGTGCCAAATTAAATTAAAACTGAAGCAGAAAAACGTCTGTGTTTGTGTTTAGTGTAAAGTAGGTGGCCTCAAAGGCGTCCTCCATCCGCAAATAACTAACTGAAAAAAGTGATTCCAATAATAATTTCGAAGAGATACTACAGAGAAGGTATGTGAAACCACCTCATTGATGTTAATATTAATTTAAAATTTATTAAATCACTAAAAATGGATGGCAGAAAGTCTTCAAAACATTCTATTCACTATCCAGACGCTTCGGAGTTTGGAGACCGACCAAATTGTGTGAAATTATATATTCGTTTTCATATTAATGTGCATCGAAGTAGTCGTTGAAGGGATTATTTTAAGGTGGCAACCATGCAAAAATTCAAACAATCCAAAACTCAATCTTTTCTACAAATTATTTTTTCAAATAAATGTGTACCCCAAGTAGCAAAAATTAATTAAAATTAACATCCAATTAACATAGGGTAGCAAACATAAAGATTTTTGCTCGGATTTTTGTCATTATTGATGTGATTAAATTTGTTCTGAATGACATTATTGACACTTTTTGTGTAAATCAGCCTTTAAGGACTTCTACAAGTTACTTGATGCACATTAATATGAAAAACAGTATAGCCAACTCTTTCAATTTTACTTTTACATCAAAACAAACTTCAAAGGTATATAAAAAATGATAGTCACTAAAATATAATACTCCTATACAAGTTTCGATTGTAAACGGATTTTTCAACGCGTCAGTTTTGTTTGTAGAACGAGCCCGAAGGGCGAGTTACGTTAAATAATATATAACGATTTTTTTAAGTGGAACATCTTGTACAAATAATAAGTTGTAAATTTTCATTTATTGCAGTAATATCTATAATGTCGAAAACGATTCGATAAAAAAACCAATTTTCTGAAAAATGAAATTAATGTTCGATCGTTAATCTAAAAAAATACGTAATAGGTTTTAGGAATGTATAAATACGTTTGTGTAAAATAATCTTCTCAGTAAAAATGTTGCGTTTTTTGATCGTGCTTTTGTTTGCAAGTGTTACTCACGGGTTACTACCTTCAAACCCCTGTCCGAACATTTTCCAGTACAAATATTTCAAAGATCAATATTACGGAGAAATAACAATCCCTTATGATGATGAAAGTAGACATCTTAATCTGGAAGTACAGTTTTCTTTGCCTGGCTTTTACAGAAATTTGGTAAAACGATTTATAATTTTAATTTTGTATTTTACTAAATGACACGTTTCAAGAAACTTGATTTACAAGGTTTGACACCATTGGAACTACTTGGTTCGACACCATTTATAAATTACAGAGTTGGTTTCCCGACTCCACCCGACAATTTTAACAAGGATCTTCCAATCATTACCCAAGCTACTTTTAATGGTCGAATTATATGTACTGGACCCCCGTATAAAGGTGCCTCCGCTATTTTTTGTTTAATTTTTACTCATTTGTTATTTTCAGACACTTCGAGGGGGGTCACAAGTTTACAAGCCAGTCTTTACTACAATTTGTAACTCTAACAATATCACTGAATGCCAATCTTGCATCTGAATAAAAAACGATAATAAAAATAATCTGCTTCATAATTATTTTCTTCCATTACCTTTGTCATCAAAGTAGCCTAGTTGGCCACGTAGGGATAGACACCTGTCAGAAGAATGATTAGGTTGGCAACAGAATTAAGACCATTTTTGGTTTCGGTTGTTTGGTGTACTCCAGTTATACCATTTAAAGAAAAAAACAGTTTTGCCAACTCAAACAAATTACAATTTCAGTGAAGTGGCCTTCACAGACAATGACTTTTGTCTCCGTATTATTCAGTGTTGCCAACTTGACTTCAAATATATGATATTAACCTACGTTAAGCCAAAACAGAGAGAAACAATTAATTAATTAATTTTGTAAATAATTAAGTGAAACACTGTCTTAAAATACAACATTTTTATTAAATTTCATTTTTACATTCGTGGAAGATACTAATTAGGAGGATTGGTAGGTCAAACCGACTCCAAAATTTGTGACACCTCTCGAAGTCACTTAAAAATAATAAATTATGAAAGGTTACATAAAAAATCGTTTTTTGTACCTATTTCCGAGGGTCCCGAACAGAAAATCTGTTCATTAAACACAACATTGGTGATTCTTGGAATATAGGGGAGACGTGGGAAGTCGATTTTGAAATGTACATTTGGTGCATTTTGGCGTAGTTGGTCGGAGGATGTCAACCGGTGTATGCCAGGATTCTAAAACTTATTATTTGATACAATTAAAAAAAATAAATTGTTTTACCAAGTTTTTGTATGTGCCAACCACTGAAAACTTTGCTTCAACCTTAAAATTGTGACTTCCATCATAGGGAATCCTTATTTCACCGTAATATTCACCTCTTTCGAGCTTGTAGGTGAAAACTTCAGGACAAGGGACTGGAGGAAGAAACGCTTTTGTCACACTTACCAACACGGTGATCAAAAAAAGTACACGCAGCATTGTGAATGAAATTATTATGCAGTATTTTTTCAGGGCCTTTTTATACGTCTGATTTGATAGGGAAATATTTATAGTTTTTTAGATTAACTATCAAGTATTAACGATTTCAATTTTGAGAAAATTGTGTTTTTTAATAACTCGTTTTATGAAACATTCAAATTATAACCGAAATAAATTATTTACAACTTGAGATTTACACACTGTGTCCCAGTTAAAACCTTTACGATTGGTTAGAATTTTCCTTGGAAATATACAGGCTGATCAACAACTTAGCCATTAAAAGTAAAATTTTATTATTTGTAAAAACTATGACTACTAATAAATTATATCACGTTAGTCCCTCCCCTATCACCTCCTTAATCCACTCCCTCAACTTCCCCACATCCGAAAACACCACAAACTCATTCAAATCGCACGAAAAATCCTCCTTTTTAATCGCCGTCGAGACCACGCCTCTCAAAAACCACCGCCCCTCCCTTTTCACTATAAACCCCGCCCCACTATCTCCATTGCACGGCCCACTCCCATCCCTATTTCCCGCACAGAACGTCGTTTCTGATGTTAAATTACGAAAATTTGCATGCGATCGTAGACAAGTTTCTTGTGACACGACCGGCATTGCTACTTTTCGTGGGACGGCTACGACGTTCCGCCCCTCGGCACTTTTACCCCACCCAGCGACCACGCCTCTAACTCCAGCGAATTGTTTAAGGTCGGTGTCGCCCGTCCAGAGACAAATGGGGCGAATAGTTGGTTTAAAAATCACTTTTTCGTTCATTTTGATAATGGCGAGGTCACAATGGCCCGAGGATTGCTTGTAGTTGGGGTGGGGCGTGACTTGGGAGGCGGTGCGAAGGAGAGCGCCGGTCGACGCCCAATGGGAGATGTCGGAACGGCCGAGCACGAGGAGGATGTCGGCTTTGTCGATCAAGGGGGCCTTGTAGTACCACACGCAGTGCCCAGCTGGAAAAAAAGATATACAGGGTGTTTTTTTATATTGAAAAAAATTGCAACCACATATTCTACATGAAAATTAACGATAATTTTTCTAATAAACTATAGTTCTACAGTGCGATCAAAAAGTCTTTCTATCCAGTAGGCGTCCTAGTTGAGGACGTATGTTGCATGGCAGTTCGTATGTTATCTAGATGTCAAAAAATTATTTTATAAAAATTAAAACATTGAGCTAATTAAATTGAATTATTCTATGAAACGTCTCAAAACAAACTAAAATGAGATCTTGTTGGTGTTTATTCATAAAAATCGTTCACCACGGTTTCCTGTCATAATTCACATAAAAAATATTTTGACATTTCTCATTTGTCATTGTGACATTTTATGTTCCACAGACATACGTTTTAAATTTCTACGCTTGCTTGATATACAGACTTTTTGATCGTACTGTATAAAGCTTTGTTATGGTAATACAGGGTGATAAAGTTGTATGATAATTAGTTTCACCGAAACCACTTCAAATATTTTCATAAAATAAATTATTTTATTTTTTATTATTTTCTCGATGTAGAATATGTGGTGCAATAATAAAAAACATCCTGTGTATAATTATAAAATTTCCTGTCTGATGATTACAGTTGTATTGCTTATGAACTTCCTCTGGAAGACTGAATCAATTTATACTTTTTTATTTCATTCTTTTTAAAAAATAAAAAAAATGGAAGCAGTAAATATGACCCACTTTTCATATATTTACTACCAATCTTAGATAATTTTTGAGTTCAAAGTTTATACAAATAAATAATTGGAATATTTCGATTAAATCTTGTTTACTGTCACTGACCTTGACAAGAATTCTAGTGTCGGAATTTGCGTTTGAAACAATGCATTTTACCTGTAAGTACATGCTGGTCTGTGATCAAGTTGGCCGTGCATTGAAACTCGTAGGAGACTCCTTGTCGGTGAAACATCGCAACCAGCCATGGATACTCATTCTCGATTGTTTTTTCACCTTTTAGTACCAAAGTCTGGATATCGTTAGCAACACCACAGCTGTCTTCAATGGTGGTGGTGGGTTCATGGTACTGGTTCATGGGGTTGGAGGGTTGTTTGAACCCAGTTTGGATGCTGTACGTGTATTGGTTGATTCGGTAGACGATGTTGGACCAAAGGTTGGTCACACCTTTCATGGAGACTAAAATATGGGAAAAATGGTAACCTTGAAATGGGAATGGGACACCAACCTTGTTCCGATGGTCCATAACAGTAAATCCGGCCGTTAAACGCGATTTGGGTGATTCTTGGGATGATATTTTGAAATGGGAAATTCACTATGTATTTGAGATATTGGGCTGAAAGGATTTCATCAGCTGGTGTTACAAGTTCAAGTCTCAGTTTCTAAAATTTGTCACTAGAGTATTTTTTTTTTGGGGGTAGTATAATTTTACCAAATTTTGGTACAACCCAACCATGGAGATATTCACGGCCAAGTTGAGATTTTTGCTCCCATCGTAGGGGATGTTAATCTCCCCGAAATACACACCCCTTTCTTGACGATACGCGAAAAATTCCGGACAGGGATTTTCCGGGATTATCTGACTTTTAACACTCACCGCAAACACAGTTAGGATAACTAAACGCAACATTGTTTTAAATCATTTTTTGCTGGTTTTCCCGACTTGTCTCAACCGTGTCCTTTCAAGAACTAATTTGATACGACTTTCAACCATGGTGGGAATATTTAGAGCGAGTTATCAGAGATGTCTTCCGGATTAACGACCGATCATTGCCAAGGTTAAGTCGTAAAATTGTACATCCTTGAGGGTTTTACACGAGGATGTGCGAAATGAAGTCATTCTATTCTTATTTATTTTAATCGACAAAAAAATACACAAAAAAATACACAAAAAATTGGTATTTGTGGAGGCGGAACTATTTTGGCCGGACAACTCCAGGAACCATCAACGAAACTATCCGCAACATAATCGAGTTACCATATAAAAAAATAACGTTTTATAAAATAAAAAATAATAGATTAAACAGTAGTTTAGTGAAAAGGTTTTCCCTAAATCCCACATAAAAATATGAAAAATATTTTTTTTTAATAGGTAAAAGCATATTGAAATAAAAATAATAAAAAATTACCCGTTAGGTCAGGTTTGAACGTTAGAAATGCGAAATTTCTTGAAAAATATGACTAAAATTCAATAAAATGGGCCAAAAATGGAGTTATTTCTGCTTTTTTTAAGCATTTAAGAATGTTGTGATTGAGAATTTATTTTTTTTTGTAAAATTTTGATAAATCGGACGAAAATATCCCCAAATTTTTTAAAAAATTGCATTATTTTTTCTTGTTTTGAGTGTTTTACTATATTTTTTGTCTAAAAACGCGATTATTTTGCAATATTTTGTTAAAAATAATCCAAAAAGACACCAAATTAGACCGAAAAAGGTGGTGTTTTGTTTTTACTAAAATTTAATTACTCAGATTACTCGCGAGATTTTGCTAAAACAGACTGTAAAATCAGTAAATTTGGTCGAAAATGACTTTGTTTTTGCATATTTTGACTGCGATTGTATACATTTTCATTTAGAAACGCCTTTATTTTGTAAAGTTTTATTAAAATAAGCGGAAAAATTATCTAATCAGGTTCAAAGTTTCTGTTTTTTTTTCAAGTCATGAAACACGTTTTTGAATGAAAAAATTAATTTTTATTTGCAAAATTTTGCTAAACTGGTCCACAAAATGTCAAATTTGGTAGATTTAGCTAGCACACATAGAGTGGAAACTGTCAAATTTTCATAGCAAAAGTAAAGAATTATATTAAAAAATATTTATTATACTAAAGAATTTAGAACTAAAAAAAAAAAAATACGAATGAAAACAAAAAAAAGATAATTCAGCCAGGAGTATTTTAAAGGATATAAAATTTGAACATGAATAAAATAAAAAAATGTAAAATGAAAGATATAACGCAGTAATAAAAGAAAAAGAAAAAACAAATTTTTCTCTTACAACTAAATGTGCTAAAAAACATCAAGAAAAGAGAAAAATTAGATAAGTTGATTGCTTTCTTTTTTCTTTCTTTCTTAATATCAGCATATTTTAGAAATGCAGTTGTTTTGCAAAATTTTATGAAAAATATGACTAAAATTCAATAAAAGAGTCCAAAAATGTTATTTTTGCTCTTTAAGAACGTTGTGATTTTAGAACTTACTTTTTTTTTGTAAGATTTTGATAAATCGGACGAAAAAGTCTCGTAATTAAAAAAATGCATATTAATGTGCTTGTTTTGAGCGTTTTACCACATTTGTCAAAAAACGCAATTATTTTGCAATATTTTGTTAAAAATAATCCAAGAAAGACACCAAATTAGATTGAAAATAAGTGTTATTTTGTTTTTACTAAAATTTAAGCATTATTATTATTAAATATTTATAATTATTATTATTATTAAATTATTGAAAACAAGCGGAAAAATTACCTAAACAGGATGGTGTTATTTTTGCCTTTTTCATGTTTTTAAACACGTTTTTTAGCCAAAAAATATTTTTTTTGCAAAATTCTGTTAAATCGGATATATCGGATAGCTGATCTAAAAATTAAAAATAGTTGTAAAAAAAGGATAATTCAGCAAGAAGTATTTTATATGAAAGCTGCATCTATGAAGGATGTAAAATATTAAATATGAAAGTGAAAGACACACAATAAAAAAGAATGAAAAAAAAACTTTTTCTAAAACTAAATATGCTAAAAAAACATCATGAAAAAAAATTATATAACTTCTAGATTCTATATCTTCATAATAAATATATATAATAATATATCAATTTTTTTTAAAAAGAAATGATAAAACGTTTTGTTTTTATTTATTTCTATTCAACAACAAATATACAAATAAAAACAACTAACGCTGCTGGAAAGCTAGCCTGAACCCATTTTTGGGTTTTAGAACAATATTTGCCGTTAATTCGATATCTCCAATCGACTTGATCGAACTCGTAACCCGGAATTTTCGTATAACCATTGCTACCATTATTTTCATGACCAGCATTCCATACTTCCAACCTAGAAAACAGTAACTTACACAGTTCTGGCAACCTAGGTTTAGTCACCTATACAGTTCCGGGGCCCTCCGGAAAAAGGCAACCACGTGTATGGATGCCTATTTAGCGATTTTTCCGGTAGAAACCGATCAGGATCAAATTTCAACGGTTGTTCCCAATACTTCTCACTCCTATGCAAATGCAAATAACCAAGACCGATATTTGCGCCTTTGGGGACCACCACATCGCCCAAATTCACATCTTGTTCGACGACTCGAGCCACGAAGGGGGCGCCCGGAAATACCCGGAGCGACTCTTTAATCACACGTTCGGTGTATTTGAGTTTGGGTAAATCGTCAAGGGTTGGGGGCCGCTCCGGGCCCAGAATTTCGGTCACTTCGTTGTAAAGTTTCTCCTAGAAGATGAAAAATAGAGGAAGTTTGAGGAAACAGAAGAGGTTACTTGGACATCCTGGTGCATCCCAAGAAGTGTCAAAATGAACGATCCCGAAGTGGCGTTTGTGTCAGATCCCTGAAATGTAATTTTCAGGATTAAAAGACTTTACCAAGGAGGTGGTTTACAGCTAATAGGAAGGTGTTAACTTCGTCTTCTAATTCTTCTTGGGTTAGCTCCTTATTGAGGAATTTTTCGACCAGAAGGTCCAAGAAAGGCTTCTTTTTTTCTTCTAAAAAATAAAATTTTTGCTTAAAATGCTACCCAAGGGTTTTTTTTTGGGTATACGAACCATCGGCTTCCAGTTGACACCCAATTTGTTCCTTCTTCTTCTCAATTATCTCCCGAGTCATACTTTGGATTAAATTTTTGACTTGGTCTTGGATTTTGTTGGCTTTGGTCCAGGAGAAAACCCAATCGAATTGGTAATCTAGTCGGAAAATTCTCATAAAGACAACTTCCATCCATTGGTCAAAAATGTGACTATACGACTTGGTACCATTTTGGGCATTGAGTGAGACTCCAAAAATGGTTTCTGTAATTGAAATTTGACTAAGCCTGGACTGATTTGAGTCACTTTTGACTCACCACCAACAATATCAATGGCACAATTTGTTACATACTTACAATGGTCAATTTCTCCTTTTCCACACTCTTTGTGAAGTAACTCAATCAAAAAATTCACTTGTTCACTAATCACACCCGGAAACTGGTTCAAAACCTTTTGGTTGAAAGTCGGTGCTATAATTTTCCGGTGTCTTTTCCAAACTCTCACCGGACTTGATATTAACCCATCCCCGACAATGGGTTTGACGAATTTGTAAAGTTCCATTTTTTCGAGAGTGGCATTGTGGTTCAAAATCACCTCCAAATATTCCGGTTTGGTGACTAAGTAGTACAAATCCGGGCCCATCCAGGCTTTGCTCAAGTCCGGGTAGTCGTCAAACATCTTCATGAAACGTTTGGCGATTTCAGCTGCGTTTCCGGTGTAGAAGAGGTAAGCACAGCCGATGAAGGGGAGATTCACCGGGCCCGGAATATTCCAGGACATGCGATACAACCGGAAGCGTTTCCAGTGGAAATGGATGCAGAAGAAGAAACACAGACTGAGGAAAATGATAAGGGGGAACATGATGGTACGAGAAAACGCGCTCAACTGCCCTTGTTGAAGACAATCATGGTTTTATCCTTGCGGATTTTTCTCATGTACCTTTCAGTCTTATGCAATTTACCACAATTGTGCAATTGGTGGCCTTTGAAAATCAAACGGACACACCTCCGGAGGAAAATTCTATTTTTATTAATACTGAAGGGAGACCTTCATGGGAGGCACTGATGGGTTGATTTTTACGTTTGATGGGTCGGTGAAAAAATCATAAGAAATAAATGCATATTAATATAAATTGCATATTTATAAGTGATTAATAATTATCAGGAAAAAAAAACAGAAAGTGCATTTCTCGACTCAGGTGAACTACCAGAAATCTTTCTATGGACTTTTCCCCGTCACCCGATCACGTGATACATGCATGACAATCTCTTTCTCTCATTTCTCAGAAAACAATTATTTTGTATGAAATTTTATTATTCAAATGAAAATCGTAAAAAAAATCAGTGGTCGGTAACAAGAGTTATTTTCAATATTCAAGGACACAAGAAAATTACAATGCAGCCGACTTGACCTCAACTTAATTAACTTTCAATCTTTTGATAAGTCGACCTTCAAACTAGCTCAAGAATTTGCATTTTTGAGGCCGAATTTGAAAAATCATGCGTTATACAGGATGTCCCGTCTTATAACGCAAAACTATACAGGCTGATTTTTGCAAGGCCTACATTAGAACCATTTCAACTTCCAGTGTAACTCAGGCTATAAAATCTTTTAAAAATTTTTGAAAAAACTGACTTATAGCAGTTTGAAACTATCATTTTTCAAAAATTATACTAGTCTTGAAATTTGACAGTTGATAATTTTGATTGGTTATTAAATGCAAAAAAACTCACTTATTGCAAAGAGTTGCTGTGATTTTCGAAAATTTCGACAAAAAATTGAGATATGTTAAAAACTATGACAGATAAGTATTGACAACTTGAGTAATTCGAAAGTGTAAAAAATGAGTGGTTTAAAATTTCAAATTTCAAAATCAAAAATGGCCGATTTTGGTCGCGTACAAAATTTCAAAGTCGTAGCTGCATTGGAAGTTTAGTACAAGAATCACTCTGTATAGCGTCATTTTAAAAATACTTAATATACAAGCTGTTTTTTTAATATTGCAAAAAATTGCAACTACATATTCTATATCGAAAAATAACACTAATTTGTCAAACATACGATAGTCGTATAAAGCTTCGTTACGGATATGCAGGGTGATAAAGTTTTATGACAAAAATTAAAATCCATTTAAATTTGTCATAAATCGGACGAAAATGTCTCCAAATTTTTGAAAAATTGCATTATTTTTCCTTGTTTTGTGTGTTTTAGTATATTTTTCGTCTAAAAACGCAATTATTTTGTTAAAAGTAATTCAAAAAGACATCAAATTATTTCGAAAAAGGGTTATTTTGCTTTTACTAAAATTTAGTCACTCAGATTACTCGCGAAATTTTGCTAAAACGGCCTGAAAAATTACTAAATTTGGTCGAAACTGACTTTATTTTTGCATATTTTGACAGCGATTACATACATTTTCATTTAGAAACGCCTTTATTTTGCAAAATTTTATTAAAAATAAGTGGAAAAAATACCTGAGCAGGTTCAAAATGGTGTTATTTCTGCCATTTTCAAGTCTTTAACACATTTTTCAGTCAAAATTTTTCTTTTTATTTGCAAAATTTTGCTAAACCGGTCCACGAAATGTCAAATTTGGTAGATTTAAGCACATAATAGAGTGGAAACTGAAATTTTCAAAGCCAATTCTTAACAAAAAATTAAAAATAATTGTAAAAAAACAAAAAAGTAGTAAGTAAGTACATATTAAAAAATTTAGAACTAAAAAAATACGAATGAAAAAATAGATAATACATCCAGAAGTATTTTAAAGGATATAAAATTTGAACAAGAATAAAAAAATGTAAAATGTAAAAAAAAGAAAAAAGAAAAATTCTTTCTTACAACTAAATATGCGAAAAACATCTAGAAAAAAAATAAGTTAATTGCTTTCTTTTTTTTTGTTTCTTTAAATATTTTAGCATAGCATGGCAATAACTTGAGTAGTTCAAAAGTGTAAAAAATGCGTGGTTTAAAACTTCAAATTTCAAAATCCAAAATGGTCGATTTTGGTAATATATAGGCTGTCAATTTTACAGGGTGATAAAGTTTCGTGACAAAAATTAAAACCCACTTGAGGTATTTCAAATATGTGGTTGCAATTTTTTGGCGGAAACACCCTGTATAATCACTTTTTTTTATTGGCGCAAGGTGAAGGTCAGCTTGAAGCCCATTTTGGGCTTAAGGACGATATTTGCCGTCAGGCCGATGTCTTCAACACACTTGACTGAACTCGTAACCCGGAATTTTCGTATAACCATTGCTATCATTATTTTCATGACCATCATTGCGAATTTGCCTCCTGAAAGCACCGAAGTGACTCAAATCGCGTTGCAGCGTTCTGTATTACCGACACAATTCCTGAGCCCGCCTGAAAACGGCAGCCACGTGTATGGATGTCTTTTTGAAACATTTTCAGGCAGAAAACGATCAGGATCAAATTTCAGAGGCTCCTCCCAGTATTTTTCACTTCGATGCAAATGGACGTAACCTACAGCTATGTTCGATCCTCGGGGAATCACTACTTCGCCTAAATTGATATCCTCTTCGGCGATTCTCGCTATGAAAGGAGCCCCCGGAAACAACCGAAGTGACTCTTTGATTGTGCGCTCTGTGTATTTGAGGTGGGGTAAATCGTCAAAATTTAGGGGGCGTTCGGGGCCCAAAACTTGGATTATTTCATCGTAGAGTTTCTCCTAAAAAAATAGTGGAAAAATGTATTTAACCCAATTTTATTGCTACTTGAATGTCTTGGTGCATCCCAAGAAGTGTCAAAACGAAACTACCAGAAGTTGCGTTTGTGTCAGATGCCTGGAATAGAATTTTTGGGATTAGAAATTTAAAATAAGGAGTGATTTACAGCCAATAGGAATGTGCTAACTTCGTCTTCCAACTCTTCATAAGTTAGTTCCTGTTTGAGGTAGTTTTCAACAAGGACTTCAAGGAACGGTTTTTTTATATCTTCTAGAAACCAAAAACCAGAATCAGAAGAAAGTGAAATATAACAAACCTTCAACTTCTAATTGACACATAAGTTGTTCTTTCTTCCTCTCAATTAAATCACGTGTTATTTCCTTAACCACTTTTACATTTTCTCGTTCCGCTTTGTATTCCTTAGTCCAAGAAAAAAGCAAATCGGAGTGGTAATCGAGTCGGAAAATTCGCATAAAAACCACTTCCATTATTTTATTAAAAGTTTGACCATAATTTGCGTTCGTGATTTGGGCATTTAGGGGAACACCGAAAATGGTTTCTGGAAAAACACCACTAGTTTTGACCAAAATTTTTGACAACTTACCACTAACAACATCCATTGAAAAATTTGCAATGTACTTGTATTGATCTATTTCACCTTTATTACACTGTTTTTCGAGGATTTCGAGCAAAATGTCACACTGTTGGGCAATAATTTCTGGAAAAGTGTTTAAAATTGTTTGTTTGAGAGTCGGCACGATTATTCTTCGATGTTTCTTCCAAACTTTTACTACAAGACATTTTTAATTTCACTCAATTAAAAAAAAACACTAACCTGGTCCTGAAATTAACCCATTGCCAATAACCGGTACCATGTATTTGTACATGTCCATCTTCTCTAAAGCTCCTGGATGGTTTAAAATAATTTCCAAATATTCCGGTTTCGTGACGATGTAAAACAATTCCTCTCCCATCCAGAATTTCCCTAAATCGGGATAATCCTCAAAAAATTTAATAAATCTAGTGGCAATATCTGGTGCACTTTTGCCTAAAAATAGATAACTGGCGCCCAAAAAGGGCAAGTTTGTTGGGCCTGGAATATTCCAGGAAATTCGGAAAAGTCTCCATCTCTTCCAGTGATAATGTATACACCACAAGAGGAAAACTATGCACAAGAGAACTAAAACGTACATGATAATCGTATTGATAAAATTAAACTGAACTCACAGACAAACATTTGTAACATTCGTGTTATTACAAAATTTTGTTAAACCTTTCTCTCTTGAGCAAGGTGTAACTAGAAGGGGGCATTGCAAAACCTCCAATTAAACCAAATATTAATAAAATGTCATGATAATTAAGTGGTTTGACGGTCTACGAAGTCGTTGAACTTGACCTAATGGGAAGCAGCAAGTGCAAATCTAATTAATTTTCTAGACAAGGTTTAGGTCAAAAAGAGTAAATGAGGCGGGAAGTATTTCATTACCACGAGGGATCAGGTTATCTGACCGAGAGGCGCAGCCTCGAGGTCAGAAATAGTTTAGCAAAATGTAAGCAAAGGGGCAGCAAAAAATATTTTGATAATATATACACTAAGACACCAAGAAAACATAAATACATTTATTAAATAACAACGATGGCCAAAAGCCACGATCTAAATTTACTAACATCTGTGAAAACAACATAATTCGTCAAATCGCAACTCTGTTTAATGGGGTCGTAAGTCGAAATTGACACTACGCCTCTCAATGACCATTTGCCATTCCTCTTCATTATAAAACCGCTCCCGCTGTCGCCATTGCAAGGGCCACTCTCGTTCCTCTCCCCTGAAACTAAATTTTCACAAAACAAGCTTCAAACTTCTCAAATTCTAGTACCAGCACAAAAGGTCCTTTCTGAAGTGATATACTTGAAGGCTTCCGACGACCTGAGACACTCCTCTTGACTCACAATCGGAATATTGGCTTGTTTGGGCTCAGCTGTCATTAAATTATCCTGTTCGTCGCGCCCCCAACCCACGACTTTGCCCTTTTGACCCACAATGACGTCAATATCGTCTGGTTCGGACCAGAGACATATGGGACGAATATATTTACTAAACTCGATTTTCTCGGCTAGGATTACAACAGCAATGTCGGCATCGGAGGTCAAAGGGACATAGTCGGGGTGTATTTGGATGTCTTCGGCCTCTACCATTTTCTCACCCTCGGCGAGTGACCATTTTTTGATATTGAGTTTCCCAAGAACAAAGAGGAAACGGTCAGGTTGGGCTCTTTTGCGACCTTCTTGGACACAATGGGCAGCTGGAACGCTAAATTTACTACCATTATGGTACCACCCATGGGATTTACCAGTCACCACATGTCTTTGAGATACCAACGAACCGCTACATTTGTATTCAAGACCGGTTGTGGTAACCGCAAAAATTGCAGTAAGCCATGGAAAGGCACCACGTGGTACTGTGTTACCATTGATCACCAATGGGTTCGCCACTATTGACACTCCGCACGTGTCATCGGCCGGCGAAGAGTCACGTGATGGGGTTTTGTGTGACGGCGCCAATGTTGTTTTACCATTGAGGAATGGGTTCCCTACGACTAAATCAAGGTCATGGTACACTGCCCTTGTGCCAAAATGATGTCTTCATATTTAAACATAAACAGAGTGTTTTATAATTATGGGCCAAAATTCAAAAATGACTTTGTTTTTGAGTTCTGTAATTCTGTCAAAAACAAAAAAATATTTTAGGACTCACTCTGTATACATCAATACAATAAAAAAATCTCAATTTGTGATGACGAGACGCCTGGCACAATTCTATTTTTGATGGGCCACCCTGTATACGTACACAAGATCTCGTTGGAGGGCCCTGAACTCCGGTTAATTTTCTCCGTGGTTGTTCTAACCGTGACCGGAAAATCGTCTAGAAATTGGTTCCGGACCGGTTTTGTGTTAATTTTGGTGTCCAAGAATGGGTTTGCTTTTTCCGTTTCGCGTCCGGAAAGGAAAGGGTTGTTTCGTGATGGTACAAATGGGCCGCTTTGGGATCTAAGAGGTGATACTTTGATGGTTAGGGTGTGTTCGAGGTTGATTTTGGTCAAAACACGTGCCCAGTTATTCACTGAAATAAATAATTTGGGTTGAAGTGTGGAAAAAAGGGTTCAGTTTGGGTTACTTTGTATCGGAGGTCCTGAACACACTACTTGGCCATTGACCATGATTTTGGTCACTCGTGGTGGTGTGTTTTCCCATCTCGGGAAGAAGACTTTGTATCTGATGGGTCTTTGGTGGTGGATGTCGTCGAAAATGAGCTCTTTGGGGTTGGCGAGCTGGATTTCGCCATTGTAACTCTAGAAAAAGTATTGTAAAAAGGTGTTTTTTCGTCTGCGTGTTTGTGTGTAAAGTCCTAAAATCATATTTTCGGGAATTACTTTTTACATATTAAGAAAATTATCTTGAACAATGACATCTAAAAATTTACTATTTCTTCTTCTTTTGAAGAATATTAAATTAAAATATCAATTTTATTGAAATTCAATAAGAATGTGTGGAAATTTAGTGTACTACTTTCATAAAAGTTAATTATTAAATTGAGTAACAGAAAACGAAAATTACAAAATGAAGCTAGGTCCAAAATTTTATGTTGCGTAATAACAAATTTACACATTTTAAAGATTGTCATTGTTTTATATAAAAAATAGAATTTTAATGTGGTACAAAACGTTATTCTTAGTGCAAAGCCACGCCCATTCGTGTTCTTGTCTGCAGACACGCCCCGGGCACAATTACCAATTTTATGATCTTTTGCAATTCCGTTTCTTGTTTTAGTGAGTTTATTTGTAGATTACAAAAAACATCAAATTATTTTTTTTTAATTTTATGATTAATAGTCGTCGTGACTTAGATTTAACAGGATGTTGGGTGAATAGTTATTTTTTCTTTAAACAAAAGCCCGTCCTTGAACTTTCTCGATGACATAACAATTTGTGTGATTAGCAATAAATTAAACGCTCGTCAAGCTGTTAAATAATGAAAAAATCTGCTCACATTCACGCGGTTTCCAACGGATAGTTCGACGTTGAGTCTAACGACGTTTTCGTCAAAGGAATAGACACCGATGGTACCATATAGTTGCCCATTTTGGGTCATTTCATACTGGAAGGTGTCGGGACATGGACTGGAGTAGAGTTGGGGTCGCACGACCATGGCCCTCGTTGTGACGAAGTAAAGAAGAAAGGTCAAGAGGCGTTCGATGTGCATCTTTTACACGGGCATTTTTAACTGGAAACGGATGAATGGTGACACTGGTGACATTCGCTTCCGACGATTGAGAAAACTTAAAGAAAATGTTTTTTTTTTAACTAAATGAGTAATTTACGACTTCCGAACCATGTAGTTCGGCCATTAGTAAACAATTATACAAAAAAAAAACATTAAAAAAATTAACTAAAAGGTTTTCGGTGAATATTTTCGTTACTACTAATGATAATAAAATAAGCATAAAATATATCTGCATTTCAAAAAACCATCTTAACATACAAATACATAGTCCTATATTCAAAAACACGTTTACTATTATTTAAAAGCTGTCTCATTCGAAAATATAAATAATTGATTGATTTTGTTTTTATTTTTCTTAAAAAAGTATTAAAAAGCTTTTATGCTTGCTTCTACTTTTATGCTTATGCTGTTGCTTCCTATGTGCATGCTTTTATGTTTATGCTCTTATATGCTTTTGTTTCTAATGTATATTTCCTTATGCTCTTGCCTTTTCTTATTATGCTTATTGCTCTTGTGCTTATTCTTATTTGCTCTTATGTGCCCCCCATCTTTTAACATTTATTTGAATTAGAGAAAAATTTCTGAGTTCGAATCCCAGACCCACCTGTCGGAAAGCGGGACCTTATGCCGCTGCACTACCAGGCCGCCGACAGTTTTCGTGCTCTAATCCAATATACAGTATTGAGTTTACATTAGGATTTTTTTTTAATTTTTTATTTTGCGCCAAAATTGCAAAGGAAAAACATACACATACTTGAAACTAGCAAAAAAAAGAAAAGTAAAAAGAAAATTTAATTTTTCTTTTGATTTTGGGATTTGGATTAATTTTTCTTTGCTTTTTAAGTCTTATCACATTGGCGGTTTTATTTATTTGAAAAGTATATGTCACTTTGACAATTAATTTGTTAATTGCATAATGATAGTTCTTGTTAAAATGACTTTGTTTCTTATCTTAAAGCTGTTTCTTTGAGTTGTTATTTATCAAAATTATGATTTTCACAAACATTTTTGTTATTTAACTTGCGAAAACTCATTTGTCAAAGTGACATTATTGTCAAAAAAATAAAACCGCCAATGTGATAAGACTTAAAAATCAAGAGAAAAATTAACTTTTCTTTCTACTGAGTTGAATAAAATTTTAATGTGCTCGTTTCAGGTAAAGCAAAAAACGTTTTCTTTTTGCAGTTTTTTTGGCGTAAAATCAAAGATATAATTTTTTTTCCTCTTGTAAACTCAATCAGGGGACATACTGTATTCATCCGAACATAAAGAATTTTTAAAAAATAATTTTTGCGTTTTATGCACTTTTCTGGGTCTTTTAATCTTCCAAAAGTACATTTGAATCAATTTTGAAGTTAGCGATTTTTTCGATTTTTGTCAAAATTTTGATCGATTTTCAGTACCTGAGTCGAGTCCACTTCGAAACTACTATGAATAAACTCTATTGATAAAAAACACTTTTAATTTCCTATGTTGTAAAAAATAGTATACATATTATGTTTAATACTCCACATACTATTTTATTTGCAAACGTATTCAGATGGAGAGTAAAGAGCAACACTATAATTAGCAAGTAAATGAGCAAAATAATCAGGACGCTGTGCAAGTAATAAAACTATGTACCTCTCTCGAAATTGCTGAAGCAGTGGAAGAGAAGAAAAAACCAACATTGGTAAATGTCAACAATGTTATAGTAAAAGTAAAAACGCTTAAGCAAAAAAAATTTTTTTTCATCATCCCTCAAAGATAAAACTTTTACTTGTGACATTTAGTCATAAAAGTAGTCACTTTTGTGACCTTTACGGATAAAATATATTTCAGTAAATATAGTTTAAAATTATTTTAGAAAATGTGTCTTTTTTTTTTCTTTTGAAATGATGATGGATCAATAAAAATACGAGCATTAAAATTCCATACTTATTATTTTCACTAAGATTTACCTATTCCGGGACCGTACTTAATTTTTTTTAATGATAGTCTACTTCTTTGTGAAAAAATAATATATAAATCACGGGAGAGAACAATTTTTTAGCCTTCGCTATAAAGATTTATTGTTTTCTTTCCGACTGGGAATAAAGTGACGCTTTATTCTCTCGGCAATAAAATGAACAGAATACCGATTTTTACTATAAAAATTGCAATTGAATGAACTGAATATTTTGACCAATTTATGTTATTATTACTATAGCAAGGTAACACCAGAGGCGACCGAAGGAATCCGAGGGCATTTGTATTTTCAGGATAAAAATTTCTTTTGATACATAAACAACTATTCTCTCCCTCGTTATATAACCAATATTTGGATTAACTAATTAGGAAACGGTTTTTTTCTTGTAAAAAAATGTTGTAGATGCATTATGTATTAGTAATTTTTTATTAAATATAAAAACAATTAAAATGCGTCTGCTGTGGTATAAAGTACGTTTTATAATGCATAATTTATGATAATATGTAAATGTATCAATGTACATCACCTATAATTCGAATCCAATTATATTATTGAATTTATTATTACACAATGAAGATAAAAATAAAAATGATATCTCGTAATACTAATCTAAAGTTTTGATTTCTACTCACCCAAAAATCTTCTTCTCTTTCACCCTCACTTATCTTTAAGTTTATTTATCAACATTTGCCTCCGTCTCACCGAAAACTGGCACGATTGTGAACCATCGCAACGCGTGATAAAGATGAATAACAAAAGCGGTAGACGTGAACGGTATTGTCTTCCAATCTATTAACTTATTCCGGGTGTTTGGGAAATCCTCGCAAACATGGGCGGCGGCGGAAAGGGGATTTCTCACAATAGAATTTAAATGAATCATTTTTTTGACATTTTGACAAAATCAGCAAGTGGTTTGTGGGTTTACGGCCTATTTTTAATTAAATACAGGCTGTTTATAAAGGCGCACACCACCTGAAATATACATTATGTCCCCAGCTTGGGTTTACAAGAGGAAAAATTTTGTTATCTTCGATTTTACGCCAACACTGCAAAGGAAAACATTTTTTGCTTCACCTGAAACGAGCAAATCTGTAATTTAAACTTTATTATTCTAACTCAGTAGAAAAAAAAGTTTATCTCTTGATTTTGAACTTAATTTTTCTCTGCTTTTTAGGTCATATCACATTGGCGATTTTATTTATTTGAGAACTATAATTATGTCACTTTCACAATTAATTTATTAATTAAATAATGATAGTTCTTGTTAAAATGACTTTGTTTTTTATCTTAAAGTTGTTTCTTTGATTTACTATTTATTAAAATTATGTTTTTCACAAACATTTTTGTTTGTAATATTGCTCACCTGTCATTACCAAAGTTTAAAACAGCAATATTTAAAAGATCTCTCTCCTACAAAACAATAAAGTTATACAATTCTTCTCATTTGTTTAGAGAAAAACTTTCAGTGAACAATTTTTGAAAAAAGATAAAAATACATTTTTTGAACTTTAAGTTTTTTACTTTTGCGTTTTGTTATTTTTTTATTGTTTTAATTCCTGTTATTTCTACTTAAATAGTTTTTCTTAATTTTAGTTAAACTTTAATGCAATTTTTCATTATTTTTTTTTTGTTAAGAGGGTTAAGTATGAATAGCAGATGCTAGATTTTACCTCCTGCGTTGTATTTACTTGTACGTACAATTCAATAAAGCCGCTTTATTATTATTATTATTATTATTTAACTTGCGTAAACTCATTTGTCAAAGTGACATCATTGTCAAAAAAATATAACCACCAATGTGATGGTATTTAAAATCAGAGAAAAAAGTCAAAAATCAAGAGAAAAATTATTTTTCTTTCTACTGAGTTAGGTTTCTAATGAAGTTTTAATTACAGATTTGTTCGTTTTAGGTAAAGATGTTTTTCTTTTGCAGTTTCGGCGTAAAATCAAAGATAAAAAAAAATTTCATTTTGTAAACTCAATCCGGTGACATACTATGTTTACATGAGTTCTAACAATGATATTTATTTAAAGATTTTCATATAGGCATAATCGGTTAAGTCTTGTTCAATAAAAACATTTTCAAAATGGTGTCAAATATTTTTGAATGTGCAGCTTCCTTTTCAAAAATCGATAATTCTGCTATTTTTAATTATTTTGAATTCGTTTTTGGGCATATGAAAGAGAAAGGTTAGATGTTAAGACAGATTAAAGCAGAATTAAATTCTCTTCCATTCAGTGGAGATTTTTTTTTTTATTTTATTAGAAAAAATGTAGCGTTAAATTTTTGAGGATTTGTTAATCATTTTTTTACTTATAAACACACCTAAGAATTGATTTACCCTTTCTCTTTCAAAAACCCTAATACGATTTCATAATAGTTAAAAATGGTAAAGTTATCGATTTTTAAATAGGAACGGTTGATTAAAAAAAATATTTATGTTTTAAATTTTAAAAAACGGCTGAACTTAGGCATAGGGAGGAGCGATAATAACTCACATAGAATAACTTGGGGAATCGAAAAAAGCAATAAAAAGCACAGCTTTCTATTTAAAATATTTTGTTTAATTTTTGCGGAAGTATAATTTTTTTAAACTGAAACTTTACACAATAAAAATCGTAACTTGAAAGTCTAATTTAAACTGAAAAATGTTTTTATCGTATACTTACCTGTAGTACACAAAAGTACAACTAGTTGCATATTCTGAATATTAATCAAAATGTAACCACAATTTTTGTTATAAAACGTAACAAAATACATACACGTGTAAAGTTAAATTTGTTTTTCCGTTTATTTTTCAGTCTCCTAAGGTCATTTTTAATTGTGTATTGTAAGATCTGTAAATAAAAACTTAAAAGTAGTAATTTTCTAAAAAGTATCCGGTTTTGAAAATTCAATTAAGTACTTTTAGTCGTAAATGAGTTTATAGAATATTATGATTATTTTTCACATTTTTTTTAATGTTCATAAATATTTTGATTTATAGTTAACAAGAGTAAAATTCTTAAATTAAAAATCTCTAAAATTAAGTTTTCGGCGTGTTTGATATAAAATAGAAATTTCTTTTTAATAAAAACCGCTCATTATTTCTTCTTTCAATCACACTAAAAGCAAACTACCCTCACAATCCACATTCCTTTTATGTTTTGTCATAAAATATTGACAAATCTCCTAATTCCGGCGAACTTTTGGCGTGAAAAAACAAACATAATATGACCTAATGCGCACAATCGCCCCCAAAAATCGATGTTTTCCACCCACGTCAGTTTTCATCCCGACAATATTTCCTCGATCCGTCCCTTAAAACCGACTAAACCACGCACAATGTTGGTTCCAAAATCGCCTTAATTTCCCCAACAATGCGATAATAAAACACCATCGAAAATGGCTACCCAAAACCTAAACGAAACGAGTTACATCCTCGACCGGCGAAATTACAGCGAAGAAAGGGTGAGAAAAAATTAACACAACTAAATCAATGTAAATGCATTTTTAGGGTAGTAGTATAGACTCGAACGAAAATGCTTTCGACGACATGAAACAACTGATAAATGTAGAAAAATGTGAAACAAAAAATTCCATTTCTTGTTAATAAAATTTTCCAGGACGATGATGGGAGTAATAAATCGAGTCTGCCATGGGCAAGTTTTAATTTTATTAATTCCATTATTGGGAGTGGGGTGATTGGGATTCCATATGCTCTCCATGAAGCTGGGTTCTTTTTTGGGTTGTTTTTGTTGGTTCTGGTTGCTTATATTACCGACTATTCTTTGATTCTGATGGTGAGGAGTGGGCATATCAGTGGCAAGTTTTCCTATCAGGGGATTATGGAAGCTGCGTTTGGCAAACCTGGATATGTTCTCTTGGGGATTTTGCAGTTTTTTTACCCCTTTATTGGTAAGCTTGAACAAGAAGCTATTTTATTACATTTAGCACTTTCACAGTACAAAGTATTTAGTAAGTAACACTGATGAGCAAATTATTTGTAGCTTTATTTTTTGAAAAATTTATTGGGTGAATGATAAAGCGACGTTTCTTATGAAATTTTTTTCATTGTTGTTTTTTTGGTTTTGAGTTTTACAATAATTAAAAAAAAATTAAGAGACCATTTTTTACCAAGGCTGTGCCTTAAGGGTTACAACTATCTTTTATTGAATTTTTTTTATATACCTAAGTAAAAAAAATCGCAAAACTCAAAAAGAAAAAAATTATTCTCAAAACACGACTACATTAATTTAGGACTTTTATTTTTATTAATTATTATTTTCTGAACGCAAATGATTAAAAAAACTTTGGTTCTATCCTTTTTGTTTTTTTTTTGTTCAGCCTGTATACGCTGTTTAGTCAGATTTATAAATCTTGAAATTTTATGAAAATTCTTCAAATTCGAAGTGGGTTTCATTTTTTTTTTTCATTTTCGGACTGAAGATGGTAAGATTGCCGAAAGTGTCCCATTTTAATCCAATTTTATTAAATACATCTTAATTCGTGGGTTAGACTTAAAAATTTTTACCTTCCACTTCTTGAATTTTTTTTTCATACGCGAAAGGTTTTTTAATGTTTATTTATTTGACTAATAATAATTTGGAACAGTTTTTTTATATTTTATTCCATATCTTTGCATCATGTTCAGTAATCAACTTTTGAATTTTTTTTATCTTTTATCTAAAGAATCTAAATAATTTTTAACTACATTATTAAAACTTTTTTTATTTTATTTTGCGTTTTTTTTTTTCTAAATACAATTTCGTGTAGATTTTACACATTACATTTACATATTTTTCCATCTTTGAAATTAAAATTTCAACTAAAACAAAAATATCATGAACAGAAATAAATCATCTGAATGGATAGTTGAAAACAACAAAAGACTTTTAATTGAGATTGTAGTTAAAAAATTATTTAGATTCTTTAGATAAAATGTGATAAAAAAAATCAAAAGCTCTTATTACTGAACATGATGCAAAGATGTGGTATAAAATATAAAAAAAAAATTGAAAAAAATCTGTTGTTTTCAAGTATCATTCAAGTGATTTATGATATTTTTATTGTTTTTTTTTATTTTGATTGGAATTTTAATTTGAAAGATCAAAAAATATGTAAATGTAATGTGTGAATTGTATTAAAAAAACGCAAAATAAAACGCAAAAAAAAGTTTTACAATCTGAAAAATGTCCAGTTCGAACAATTTTAGTTAAGGACATGAAAACTATACGAAGCATGATTTTTTTTAAATCTGCAAAATAAGAAAGTCCATTTTTTTGCCCTTTGATTTGTTGTTCAGAATTTAACTAAAACTCGAAATGTTTTTGACCGATAAGTCACGTCATACAGGGTGTCAGAACTCGCGTCCCAGAGAAAAATTGCAGGTAAGATAAGATACCATGAACATTAAAAAAAATGTTTAAAAAATTCAATCTGTCAAAAAATTTTGACTTTTTTTGACAGTTTACAATTTTTTTATGTCTATTTAATGATACTGATGATCTTGTATATGTTTTTTTATAATTATTTAGTAAAGGTACAAAAATTTTGTCAATAAAAGCCACAAATAACATTAATAAACATAGTTACAGTTTAGGATACAGCTTCCTTGTTTCCTCTTCTAATAGCAAAAAAAACTTGTAAAATTATTTTTTCAACAGAAATAAATAGAGTGAAAGTGCAAAATTGAAACTCTCATAATAGATATAATTTTTTAACATTTTTTCCATGTCCTTGGTAGCTCACTTTATTGTTTTCTGGGGCGCAAGTTTTGGCTTCATCTGAAATAAAAATTTACTGTTTTTCAGAAATAATAGTTATTTATTATAAAAGACGATAAATTTGAATTTTATTAGCAATTTCATCGTTGTATGTAATACATATAAAATTTTATGCAATCTCCACTGTTTTACTGCTACATGAATTTAATTCTTTGACGTCAAAAAAAATCAAAAACGTAGAAACTAATATAATTTGATAAGCAAGTATTTTCTTATCGTCTAAACGATAAAATTGCATTTTAACATGCAATAAAGAGTAGACAAAATGCAATTTCTGCATTAAAGAATGAATGAAAATTTTTTTTTCAGCCATGGTTTCCTACAACGTCGTCGTCGGAGACACAGTAACCAAAGTAATAATTCGCCTAACAGGCATCACCCAAGACTCGCTTTTCGCCAAACGCCACATAATCGTCCTCATCGCCACCCTCCTGGTCACAGTTCCTCTTTGTCTCTATCGAAAAATATCAAAACTGGCAAAAATCTCATTCCTGAGTCTCGTCTGTATCGGTTTTATTTTATTTGCGATTTTTGTGCGTATCGGAACCATGAGTGAGATTGTGTGAGTGATGATTTTGGTCATTTCTTGGCTAAAAAACCTCAAAATCGAATTTTAGGCCTCCTCATCGGCACGCTTGGTCTTTCTTCAACAAAGACATCATTCCGGCCATCGGAATTATGGCGTTTGGTGAGGAGATTGTATTTTGCAAAATTTTGTCAAAAATAAGCGATTTTAGCCTTCATGTGTCATCATAACACGTTTCTTATTTACGGATCGATGGAAAATGCCAACGAAAAAAGATGGGAAATTGTTACTCATATTTCGATTTTGACCAGTTTGGTCGTTGCTTTGTTGTTTGGTATCGCTGGATACACCACTTTCACTGCATATTCGCAAGGTTAGTAACTTTTTAAACGTCCCTCGTATATCTTATTTATTTATTGATGAATTAATTTGAGCGTTGATGATAAATTGACTGTACTTGACATGGAATTGTGATGGATTGAGTTTGGAAAATTAATTACCACCAGAGTGCTTTTTACGCGAAAATTTCGAAATAAATTGAAAAAAAAATCTTTGACACTTTTTTTTCAGGCGATCTTCTTGAAAACTACTGCTGGACCGACGATTTGATGAATTTCAGTCGTCTCCTCTTCAGCATCCAAATCCTGCTAACCTACCCTATTGAATGTTTCGTCACTCGTGAAGTCATCACCAGTTCTTTTCTACGAAACGACCCCAATGTGCCCATCTCCGAACGTACCCATTATTTGATTACTTTGGCCATCGTTGGCACCACTTATTTCATTTCGATATCCACCGACTGCTTAGGGGTGGTCCTCGAATTGAACGTAAGAACTAATTAATAATTATTAACTAGTTATTTTAAATTCGTTTTTGATTATGATTGAACTGCAAGTGCACTAATGATGAAATAACAACAGAAATTTGCGAAAATTGTACAAAAAAAATAATAAATGGTTACGAATTGTTGCAATTTGCGACGCAAATACGTCACATGATTGTGAAGAATAACCAATTTGACGACAATGAGTGAATATTTTAACACGATGAGATTAAAGCGTTAAATTAAGCCTCACTAAATTATGTCGTGCAAGATATAATGAAAGCAATCGGAAATTCCTCTAATTGAGGAAATTGAATTCAATTTGAAAAAATCAAAACGTCAAAACATTGTATGAAATGTCTAAATATCGTCACTTTTCAATTCTCTTTGGTCTAAAAATAATCTTTTAATTAAAATTCACTAATGACAGTGTGTGGTTTATCTTTTAATTAAATAACAGTTATTTATGGTAATAAATAAAATTTTGTCATTTGACGCAAAAAATGCCCATTGTCTTTTGAATCCCCAAGAGTGCAAATGGTTTAATTTTGATGTTTTTAATTTTTTCGATTTTTGTCGAAATTTTGGGCGATTTTCGATACCCGGGTAATAACATTGGAATTATTGTCGCTAGTCCTTTTTGGTTAGTACCGTTGGAAAGCAAATTTAATTTTTTTTCATATAAAAAATAGATAATTGTCAATTGTCCTACATTAAATAGTTATCGAGAAAATTGCGGATAAAGTGAAGAATATCCAAAACATTAATTCAACTATAAAACTTCTAAATGATCAAGAATTTTGCAATTTTCTCGACGTCAATCCATTTCTGGAACATTTTACATACAGGGTGTCCCAGCGAGCTGAAAAAGTCCATTAGTGACCTTTAAATGGTAAAATTAAAATAAAATTATATAGGACATTGATAGATACTAATCTAGTCTATCGCCTAAAATTATTTTCAACTATACAGCGTGTCTCAAAAATAAGTTACAATATAAAACTTGTGTTTTTTTAAATAAAACACCATATGTTTTCTAGCGTTTTTGGATGTAGATTTTTATGACAGTGTTTTAAACTTAAAAACTTAACTAAACTAAACTTTTATTGGTCGATTTTGCTTAATTTTGAAAATAAGGCGTTTTTTTTGATAAAAACATGTACTTTTAAAAAATTTATTGCACAAAAACTAAGACAGCTAGAACAAATTTTTTCTTACTTCTGCAAAGAAGAAAATACAAGCTATAAGGTTGTAACATTATTTCAGTATGTTGCATTTGAAAAGATAAAAAAATGAAGGTGTTTGTTAAAAGTTCTATAACTTAAAAAAAATTAATGGAACACACTATTTATTGTTTTTGCATTTAAAAAATTATTAAATTGTCTTTCTAAAATTATTTACTTTTAGGTGTTTATAATCAATAATTAAAAAGATATTTAACGTTAAACATAAAAAAATATTACTATTGTTTCAGTAGCCAAAAAGTGCACAGTTGCACAAGAGATGGAAGAAATATCAGTTAATAATCACATTTGTGTTAAACTAAATCCATTATTCTTTATTTTTACAGTAAAATAATTCAAATTTCAGTATTTATAACGACTTTTACAATCTCTGGATAAATCAACTGGTAAGTGATCCGTGGTGGAATTACTATGGTTGGCATATTATCAACAATGCTCAGATATTGATAAGAATTGTTGCTACAATTAATATTGAATGTTAAATATATTTTCATTTATCAATTCTAGACATTTTTTTAGATAGACAATTTATGATGCAAAAATAAAAAATAGGGTGTTCCATTTACATTTTATAAGTTATTTAACTTTTAACAAACTTCCTAATTTATTAATCTTTACAAATGCAAAACACTAAAAAATTGCTACAGCTTTGAATTCTGTACTTCTTCTTTGCAGAAGTAAGAAAAAAATTGTTCTAGCTGTCTTAGTTTTTATGTAATACATTTTTAAAAAGTGCATGTTTTCGTCAAAAAAAGTCTTATTTCTAAAACTAAGCGAAATCAATTAATAAAAATTTAGCGTAAAAATATTGTTTGAAAAGGCTACATCCAAAAATACAAAGAAACACACGGTGTTTCATTTAAAAAAACACAAGTTTGTATCGTAACTTATTTTTGGGACATGCTGTATGGTTGAAAATAATTTTAGGTGATGCACTAGATTAGTATCTATCAATGTCCTATACAATTTTTTTTAAATTTTACCATTTAAAGATCACTAATGGACTTTTTCAACTTGCTGAGACACCCTGTATGTATGCATAAAAACATTATAACGTTTGAGGTACAGTTTTACGAAATTTACAAAACAAAAAAAAGAAAAATTTGTGAATCCTCTGAAGTTATGACAACATTGAAAATAATGTATAAAAAGTTCGAATGATTAGTTTGGTTGTTTCTAAAATATAATTTTAGTTTTATTGACTACAAAATAATTTGTGAGGGGGGGGTTAACCCCCACTGTAATGAGGTAAAGTCAGAGGCGACCAAGGACATTTTTGTAAATAACTTTTTTGATTGTATATATTTTTCATCACTTCAGGGTGTCCTGGCAGCCGTGCCTTTGGCGTACATCCTGCCAGCTCTCAGTTACCTTCAGCTGGAGGAAGGACACGTCTTGTCCTCTCGCAAAGTTCCAGCTTTAGCCACCGTCCTTTTTGGACTTACCGTCGCCGTCTTGGGCGTCGTCTTTCTCATTGTTGATTTCAGCGAGATTGACACTTGCTCCCATGGGAAAGTAATGGATTATTGTTTTCTCAACGCGACAAATACCTCATTTTTAGACAATTGAGGGTGAAAGAGCACGGGATTAAGTCCCTTGGAAAAATCAAAAAAATTTTATTCTATGCAATCAGATATACTCGACAGTGAGCTTATTTTTCATAGAGGTTCTATTTATTGAGAAAATTATTGTATAATAAAGTTTAATAACTATTGTTGCCAAATATTTTGTGATCTTGAGGGGGCCGAAAAGTGGTGGCTTTTCAATCAGTAAAAGAAAATATTTGCTCTTGATAAAACCGGATTTTGACCCACTTGAATAAAGTGTGATAACAGTAACAGTAAAGTAAGCACGTTTTAATTGATAATTGATAACAAATATTTGAAATACTAAATCTGGTGATAAGACCCCAAAATAAATCATGCAAAATGAAAACAAAAGCCATCACTGAATTTTTATTGTGTACAGTTTGATCTACGTTTCTGACACTTTTCAAAAATTGATACTATTATTGTCAAAATAAAAAAATATTTAACAAACAGTTAATTTTTGACTACAATTGTCAAAATTTATTAATTGAAGAATCCTTGTTTTTGACACTAAGTGTGATTTTGACAATACTGTTAAATTTTTGACAATACTCCGAAAATTTGTTTTAGACAAATAACATATTGTCAAATACGAGAAAATATTAGCGGAAATTTTTTTTAACTTTTAACACAAATTGATCAAACTATGTGATATATTTCGCACTCATGCAATAGTGATATTTGACACTACTGTCAATTATCACAGAATTCTCAATGCTGGTTATGAAACAAGAAGAGATATAAAAATTACAGAAGTTCAATATTGATAAAACTGACACATTTTGACACGGTTTTACACTTTTTTTTGATGTTTTTGACACTGTTGGTTTTATGTATATGATAGGGGACACCACTAGTCGGCCCGCTTTGGTATACAGGGTGTTTCCAACTTGCTATGTGAGTTCACATTCTTGAATAGCAAATTTGTGTGAGTCACCCTGTATATGATTTAGTTAGAGCTATTGTAATAATAATTATTATATTTGCTACTTGACTGTCTGAAATTAGTAAATAAAATCAGCCATGTTTATTTACTATACGAATGTTAAGATTTAAGAGTCTATTTACTGTATACAGAGTGTTCCATATGATGGGATCATTTTTGTGCCAAAATCGACTGTTACCGACGAATCACTTTCGACGCACGATTTTGCAACTGTTTTTTCAAATACTGCACCAGTGTGATGTGTTTCTCTGTGACTTGTAGATGAAAATTTGAATTAAATGGTATATATTTTCGATGGAGTTTTATTTGAAAATTGTAAATAATATGTTTATCGTGATTGGAATTTATAAAATTATAACACTATTTATAATCTTTGTTATTGCAAAGTGTTTATGCTAAATTATTTATTTTGAATAATGTTGAATTTTTTTTATAATTTGCGTCTTTAACAAGGCTATTAAAGAACTCGTTTGGGTGCGTTAACAGTCTAGTGTATTTTATGTTTTAATGTTGGTGGCAATATTATCAATTTCCGGTCAAAATCTTGAGAATTTGCAATGTCAAATGTCAGTTTCGTGTACAGCTGCTCACAAAAAATGTTTTTCCAGATTTGGTCCAAGTTTTTTGCTCGTATCTGTACACCGTAACTTGCGCAACTCCTCGTAGGTGTAATTGTCATTAAAAAGAGGTCACTTGATGTGCAAACAAGCAAATCGATTAACACAAACGTGCCGATAAATCACCCAAAAGAAACAATTTTTCCAAATGTGTCGAAATTGAAATCATAGAATTTTTTTAATACTTGCTCATTAAGCAATGTTACACGGTGGGCGTACCATCGACCATAATAAAACACATTTGTTAAAATGGGTCAATAACGGTACAATAATCTCTTTATTGCAAAGTAAAGATCAAGAACAATGTCAACAGCGATTCGGTGTCAGGAAAAGCGGAAAAACTGCGCGGAAAATGACATTGATGTGGGAAAAATCGCAGCGACCTCAGATCGGTTTTCATTTTCACTCCGATATTTGATATGAGACAGTCCTTGCGGCCGTAATTAGATTCTGAGAGGGGTCAATGCGATAACTCGAATTTAATTAAATTTTAAAATTGGAAATTTCGAAACGTAATTACTTTCAGCTCATTTTATTTACTTTGTCAATCAATTGCGATTTATGGCATATCCGACAACTACCACCTTGGAAAACTAAAAATTCACAGA